CCGTCCGACAGAAATCATGCTGCGGCGAACTGCTAAGTACACCAAGAACTTTTTCTGCCCTCCGAATGGGATGGTGAAGCCTCGAGTCTTCGTCACTTCCGAGAAGCCACCTTCATCACGGTGGCGTTCGGGTGTGTCCTGCTTCAATGGTTATAATTGCTTTCGAATTGGCCCTCTGCAGATGAAAAATGAAGACTGGAATATTACATTTGTCGCGACGGAGTTTCTAATGAAAACCAGGAATAATTTCCTTTTTTAAATTTACAATGTATGACATTATTTCCATTCGTTCGTTTGAACGTATTCATGCCAGTAGGAATTATTTCTCATCTATGAATAAGAGGAAATTCGATGAGGTAGAGAAACCACACGTCAGAAGCGTATTCTCGTTGTTTCTCGGCATATTGAGTTCGGACTGAGGACGTCCTCCAGGCAGGTTTCCTCCTGATCAGCAGTTTCTCAAATATAATTAATTTTCTACGTTACAGAGCGGGAGCTTGCGATGGTGGACATGCCTCGGCGTATCCCCACTTTCATGCTTGGATTCCTCGATGGTGTCGATGAGAAGTGAACGGAACGCACCCTCCAAGATAGCCCAAACGAAACTCGACGATTTGAAGGTAATTAATTTATAATAATAAGAAGCAAAGAGAAAGGGTGACATGCATAGTTGATCATTATGAGATCAGATTAATTTAAGTTAAACAGATCTGTTTAATTTAAACTAATCTGATCTCACAATATATCAATATATCAAATAAAAATTTAACAGGGGTGTTCTGGGAACTTTTAGGATGGCCCTCGAATTGATGCGATAAAGTAAGTTACATTCGTCCCCACGGTCGATTCGGAGAATCCCTTTTTGACCGTACGTCATACACATGGCATTTCCATCCGTACAATTTAAAACATGGAGAAATTCTACTTTGATTGTAAATTTTTTCTTTCTTCCAGATTGAAAATTTGCGTTCCCATCCAGAATACTGATGAGTAGGAAGCAAATCATACCGTTCAATATTGTAATGGTTTGCCATGCTTTCTTTCATATTATTATAAAGACTGGATAGTAAATTATGGCGAAAATCCAGTTTTAAATTGTGCACGCAGAATATTCTGGGCATCAATTTGGTTCTGCGTGTATAGGTTGAGTATATGATGCACTTCTGCCGCATCGAAATTTGTTCCGCGTGTGATGCATTTCGGTCTCGTTCTCCATACCAAACCCATTCACCGCTGCCACCGCAGGAATTCAATCCGAAGACCATGGGATTTCGCTCGTCGCAGCAGATCTGTAGGTCGTCAACAGAAAGATCACAAGTTTCAGTCCATATATGATACTTCCCTTGACTGTCATCTCCGGAAATCCCCCAGTTACAGCGGCTCGATGGGGAAAATGATGCGTGTACTCAAATCTGCTTTTAAAAAAATGTATTCATCTGTTTTTTTTTTTCACACTCCCAAGGGAATACATTTTTTCTTTACTTCGTTACTCAAAGTACAAAGTACAAAAGTACTCAAAAGTACTCAAAGTACAAAGTACAAAGTACAAAATCCATGGATAAGACTCAATTTTTTTTCGTTAAAACGCTCAAATAGAAATATGCGAAGGCGGATCTCTTAATAGGGGAGGTGATTCAGATTGAGAGAAAGGCGCCGAAGCACCTATTGATTCGAGGCGATAGGCTACAAATACTCTAACGTCAGATGAACCTATTGTGGGAATATCAAGCTTTTAAACTTGGAAGTTTAGTATACCGGTGATATGTATTGCACCACCAATACAAGAAACTAAAGACAAATACCACATGGATATGTATTCGGAAAATGGAAGAAGCGATCACAGAATCCCTTCGAGACGCACGAGCCACTCACACGGGCCGTAGGGAAGGTGATAGGGTGTAGAGGCCATGCGCTCCCCCGCACTTGCGTGAGAATCCCTCAATAGTCAATGCATTGTCCCGAGGACTTATGACAGGGGAACTTCCTCGACACGATGAAGCGGAAGACGGAGGTTGACATGCGTCTATAGACGATGCGCAGCCACTCAAACCACCCCTCTCGTCTCGGCTATAGACGCATTTCGTTTTGCAGACGCCATTCAGGCGAGACTGACATAGTCCAACTTTGATCCGGTTCAACTTTGCAACGCCTGCATTACCTGTTTCACGGCAGCTCATTAAATTTGTACTGTCATCAGCTTGCCAAAACGTCGGAAAGGGGCTCGAGGCTATCAGTGGCGGACCTAGGTGTTTCTGGCACTCGTCAGGTAACTTATTAAGAATTCTAAAATCATTCATACGTGATGCCCCCCTCCTCAGGAGTGTCGTGTCAGTGGCGAAGGGGTCAAAGAGAAATCACAGGAAATGACCCTCTCCCCTCAGGGGAGAGGAATATATTTAATAAAGGGGCGATATTTAACGACTCCTTTGAGGATTAAAAGTGTGGCAAGGTTGGACCAGATAGACTATATGAATCGAAATTCCAGTTGATGCCTTTTCCTCTTGAAAAAAAAAATAGAAATGCGAAAATTGAGAGAAGTGTATCGTTTCGATTTGCCGATTACCAAGTCAAACGTTGTGAAAATGCAAGGATAAGGGATCCCCTTAATACGGGTATAGTATACCTTATGTATCTGTCACATTTGACTTTCCTTATGTCGCTCTTGACACTACCAAGCAGCACAGCGACGCATTCGTATTTTCTTGCGCGTTTGACTTTCTCATTACCACATTTGACCTAGAAAGCCTTTATCTTCTCATAGAAGGATGTCTTTCATACTTGCAATTTAATACCAACCGCCCCTAGCTCAAAAGTACTTGGGGACTTACTGTTCTTTCTGTCTAGGGATATCATAGTGTCTTCGAATTCCCTTGCAGTGGAAGCGCTTCTCGCTTCTTTACGTACGTTGTAAAGAAGCGACATCGAAAAGGCTTCCTTTTGAGGCTTCTTGCTTTCTCTCACAGCTCTCACAACTCGACCTAACCTAACCTAACCTCTCTCACAACTCGACAGAAAATTGAAGGTACCCGAGTTTTTGTATTTTCCAGGGTAATCACCGCATTCTTCTATCGTCCCATGTGCATTGGATAGGATGGTGGGCACCTGTGTGGTCTTCTGCACAGTTCGACCCGTAAGTCTGCCGAACCACGGTTCAGACACATCTGGCGATGCTTGCATCTCAGACTGGAATTTTACTGGATTAATGTCAATTGTCGAGAATTGTATTTTGATGTTTCAGATAGGCGAACCATCTCTCCTCCCCCTCCTCCGGATCCATTCTCCTCTCTTCCCTTCCCCTCGGATATGGGAACCCTGTTGCGCATCCAATAAACAGTGCGAACGAAAAAGTCTAGATTGCTATAAATAAAAAGTTTTTCAGCGAAAATTTATGTTCTAGTCTCCTTGCTCTAGTTTGACCTGGTTTACGCCAGCTATTTCGAATGGATGCAGATATGGTATAACTGGATTTTGTAGGCGACAGATTCACACGCAATGACTGCTCTACATTGCCAAGGTAGAGTAGTCATGAATGGAACAGGGAAATCCTCGTGCATCGACTGCATTCATCTGATCTGTCACAGTGTAACTTCTTCCCAGGATGAAGGAACCTTTCGGGACCACAGGTTTGAGAGCTTGAAAGACATCGGATGCAACGTGAAGAGTTCCCTCCAGGCTCTGGTCTAAAAGGGTGAGGTGGATGGAATGATTCTGCCAGTTAAGTGTCACAAGTGCATCGACTGTGATGGAGAAAGTTTCGAATAAGGTATATTTAACAATAATGAGTAAGAATTTTTAGGAGAATATTATTTATCACTGTCGTCTATTGATTCACCATAAATTAATTGAAGAAGAAAACCTAGTGTAAACTAAATTGAACCAAGTCCAGTCAAGATGTGATAGATGAGGCCTCTACGATGTGCAGCCACGACGCGAAGGTGTTGCTTCCACTGTCCTGTCAGCCCGGCCTTCCTCTCGTCCCTGATCGGGGTAAAAGGGGGGGGGGGGCTGTTGACAACCGCGATGAGTAATAAAGCTATCGATGCATTCAACTATCGGTAGAGGCATGGATGCATCGTGACAGTCATAATAAGAATTCCAGACGTGAGAACTCTTGCAGACGAAGGCAAGACGATCAGCAAGACGAAAGTTGAGATGACTAGATTCGTCCCACCCGCTGCTTCTCTGGCGGTCACATTTCTTCAAGTGGTGCATCATGGAGAAATGAAAACGGATCTGAACGTGAAAGCCACATGATTGTGTTTAGAACTTATGGATATTCCTATTCAAAGTCGATGCACCAGGTTCGCTGTAAGTACGAGGGGAGTTCAATAAATAGCGAGAAATTGCGCATAAAGTATGATCTATTCAACTTGATAAACCGACTACTGAGTCTGTCATGTTGATATTACCAAAATTTAAAACTTGTGAAGTTGGTAGTACCCTATCGTAGCGCGTGCGCGTGACAGTACAGTTCAAACACGGTGTTCGAAGTGTGAGGCTCATCCGTTGAAGCACAGCGTGCTGTACAGTAGTGCAGTTTCTTTGTGCAGGAGGTTCAAAATCATTTAAAATTTACAGAGGAATGTCTGCAGTGTACACAGACAATTGCATATCTCAAGTGCGGGTGTATGGATGGTGTGAAAGGTTCCGTTCTGGTCGAGAGAGCCTTCAAGAGGACAATCAGTCAGGAGCATCGCACATCGCCATGACTGAATCCAATATCGAGCGAGTGGATGAGATTGTTCGTGCAAAAAGAAGAGTTTCCGTGGAAAAAAATTGCTGAAAAAATCTGCATTAATGCAGGATCTGTCGAAACAATTAACCTCAACCAGAGATTATTTTGAAATGTTAAGGACAATTTTGGGTTTTAAAAAATTCTCTTTATTTATTGAATCTTCCTTGTAATATACTTGATTGAAAATGAGAACATTTGCAGGCAAACTGTATCCTTCTATTTGGTTCTGTCATTCGGAATTATACGGCCATTGTTTTTTCGATGCAAGCAAACGATATACTGCCCAAAATAAAAAATACTATGTGCAGAAGAAATACATATTTATTTGCCTCCAAGAATTTCTTCGCGAAATTCCGGGCAGATTACGAGCGTTCTCTCTGATGAGTAATAGGCTAGCATGAGGACTACGATGTCTTAGTAGCTTAAACTGCTAGTTAGAAGCTAGCTTGTTGCTAAACTAAATCTGGCGACAAGTTTGGCAGCAAAATGTCCCATTTTAATGCAGGAAGTGAAGGGGGAAAAGGAAGAGAAAGGCTATTGTGAAGGAGAGAGTGAAGTTCGGTCTGGTTCCTGATGCTTTCAGACACTTGTGGTATGATATCTCGGAAACATCCGGGTATTCAACCTCTTTCGGATACTGCAAATAGATAATTGCACAAGCAAATCAAAACTGGAACTTATGCTTCTTCAGCGCCAGATAATAAGCCCAAGCTCAGGATAAACAAAGGAAAATTTTTCAAACGCACATCGTAGAGTTGTTGCCCGGTCTTCCTGCAAATCGGAATGTGTTTGCCATGGAGGAATCGAAACTGCAGCTTCTCCGATACCTTGGGATTCCAGTCCGTTTGATGCAATATCTCATAGAAGGAAAGATTCCGCAAATCCTCCGGTTCTTTGACAATAAGGTGGGTTTTCAGAACATTGGATTCCTTGCGGATGAGAGAGGATTCGACGGCAAGCGGCGACTCCACCTTGCCCGTCTCGTCTGTCTCGTCCTCCAGGTTCAGTGATTGATAACTAAGCGCAAGAGTAGCATATTTAACTCATTTAATCGAATTCGACAATTCTACATAAACGAAATTCAGATCAGGGAGCTTACTCCCGTATCCGGAAATCTTCCAAGTCATAGAACTCCTGGATCCCAAGGGTCTCCATGTAAGACTCATAAACAGGAAGGGAGAGACAATGGTCAAATTCCAATTTTGGATAATACTTGAGAAAGGCCAGGCACATCTCCTCTCTGGTACTGAAGCCCCCCTATGTTGGTAATAAATAATACACAAGTTAAGGCAAAAAACATGACTAGTATAAACCTATCCACAATATATCTGCTCTCGCTGGAGCAGTTTTCACAAAACTTGCTCAGTGCAAAGGCTAATATATTTCCAAGAGACCTTTGAAATTTCCTTGAAATTGGTCCACCAATGCAGGTCTTGGAACAATTATTCAAAATAAATCAGAAACTGTAAATGGATCGGGGACTCCTGTCCCTTCTGACCCAAGTGGGAATTTATTATCAAAGTAAATCCATTGGACATAAACTTCATGACACTAGGACATCCAATGTATATCCTCCTTGGACATCCAGTAGATGACTAAATGTCTCGTCCAACACAGTAAATAATAAAGGTGAGATCCTGCACTCTGATGGGGGAGCATGATCACCATGAAACAAGGGCGAGGATGTTCACTGTGGTGTCCAGCACCTTTGGGGGTTGCATGGTCACCCTTGGGTGCAAATGCCCCACCCTCTTTTCAAGATAACATCAATTTTTGATAGGCAGCACACGCCCTTCGGCGTCGCCCCCAGGCGATATATAACCCTACATTGCTTCGAGAAATCCATTTAAGGTCATCCTCCATCCTCACTCCTGGTATTACATACTCTTATTTCGCGCAAGGACGCGCAAGATTTCGACCTTTCAAGATTAAATTAATTAATCTTGAAAAGTCAAAATCTTGCGTGTTCGGGAACGCAACCCCCGCGTATAACGAGAGTCAACTGTTTATATCTAATACGCACCTATACTTGCATGGTTTCATCCCTCCTAAGGAGATAGTTGCTAATGGAGGAGGTTTCGGGCTGTGTTTTTCCTTGGGAGCTTACATCCTATTACTTGGATAACGTCGGGGGTTTATCTTGAGGCCTGAATCCCCCTTCTTCCTTCTTCAGGACCAGTATTGCTAGACGTCTCCCTGGGCTGAATTCCATTTTTAGATAATAATATCGCGGGATTCCAATGAATTCCGCTTTGCTGTAAGAGGGAAAAAAAAATCAGATACTGTATGTAAGAAATCCCAGAGGCGTGGCCTAGTTTCTTTACAGGCGATCCACTGGGTCGGCAACTAATGTGCCATCTTGCATCGGTAATGGTAACCTCACCTTTACATGAATCCAGTTGCTTCGCCTAATGAAAACGAAAGGACAGTAGGATAACATGCTTATCAGATTACTGAATAGGCACGGGCCGAAGGGAACCTCAGTTAAACCAAGCCTCTGGCTTAAACCTCAGTTAAACCCAAATCTCTCCTTGAATCATAGCCCCCAATGCTTTCAACCTTCAAGAATTATCTTGAAGGTTGAAAGCATTGGGGGCTATGATTCAAGGAGAGAAAGGACTTAATTTTAGAAGGCAGTCATGAGTATAAGACGCAATTATTAAAATTATTGTTAACTCTTGATGAGCTGTCATACCGTACATTTATCCCGCAGGGACCATTTTGCCTTGGGACCATTTTGTCAGAGTACCAATTTGCAGATAGGAATTTTGCATCCCAGTATTTTAATCTAGAGACTAGAATGACTTCTTTCACATGAACGCAGTTTCCTTCAGTTCTGGCTTGTTTTAGTCTTCCGCTCTTTCGCTCCTACCTCTCAGATCAACCGGTTTCTCGCAGCTTGTCAATCAATCTCTTCATGATAGACCTACATTTCTTTCTTATTTTACTAGGAAATTCTTGCAAAATTATGCCCTACCCCATCCTTTCGCAAAGAGCAGCATTTTTATGAGCAGATGGTGGAGCTCTGGCCCGAGATTAGTGCGCTCCAAGCGTACCAACTAATCTTCCCCCGATACTTCTCGCGCAAAAAAAAAACGCGAGGGCAACTCGAATGGAGAAAAACTAACAAGAATTTTAGGACATTTAAAGGATACATAGAAGTCGCCACATAATTTTTTTGCCATGTTATCTCACGAACTCCAAAGAATCTCCAAGAGCGGCGCGGTTTTTTTTGCTTCATCCGGTATATCTGAATAAGCTTTGAGAAAACTCGTGTTCAGGTACGTATTGATTGATTTGCCATTTTTTAATTGAGAAAAGCTAAACAAAGCCATCTTCAAGAAGATACCAGCCCAAAAAATGGAATGGAAGATAAGCTTAATAGTATGGATGATAACCGACCATAGCACTCTGACTTTTCTCCACTTCACTACCAACACGAACTATTGTCTACCTTCAATATAAAAAAAAAATCATAATTATTTTAATAATGCCTTGATTCAACACGACTTTGGATGAAACTTCGAGGACCCGTAGAAAATATCCACGTACACAGCAAGTTTTGTGATAATAGTTACAGGGGGAGCAGAGGCAAAGATAAACAGTATTCGGTTTTTTTGTCATAGAGTGAAGTGATCAATTCATCCTTGGGACCTTGTCCAACATGAGCCTTCAAACTTTTCTTTTCATGTAAAAATAAAAATTAGCTGCAGGAAAATAAAAAAATCCAACTCAGTGAATCTAGGAAAGGCGTATTTAATGGTATTGTAATGGATATATTTTTAATTGCTTTGTCTATAGTGGTAATAAAATGGCATTTTCTTCTAAGTGTTTCCCGACAACTCAATATGTACATATTTCCAAAATTGTGTACTTGTCCGCTAGATATTAAATTGCTGGTCGAAGAAAGTTACTAATTTTGCTGCCGAAAGGCATTAATACTTTTTGCCATTTAATTGATGGAACATGGATACTGTTGCCTCAATTCACTCTCTAAAAAAAAAAATTTTAACCAGGTTCTTCCGTACTTTTCTCTAGCGCTTCGTACAAAATACTTGCCACAGCGTCTTGGATTCAATTTAATGACCATTTTTTGTTCAGTAGCCTATATATCAAACCCTACGTAAATGTAATAAATGTCTCAACCTCAAAGTGCAAAAATCGATTTGAAATGTCATTTTAAGAACGAAACTTCTTAATTTAAAAAATATGGAAAGGTTTATTCTGATTTAGAAAAAAATTCTAATTCTCGTTCCCTTAAAAAAAAAAACCCTGAAGGCATCTTGAGTATCGTGACTCCCATCAGAAACAGTAGTTTCTGAAGGTACTTATCATTGTGACAGTCCCAGGGGCCATTATATAAACGTTTTGGATTTTATACCAAAACCTTATCCTAAAGGTACAAAGATCTTTGTTTAATGTTTCTAAATTAGATTCATTAACTTACCAAAGTCACGTTGTGTCTGTCAGTGGTGTCATAGACGCATTCTGTCAAGAGGATGTCTCCAGGGAGCACCGTCACGGGTTTAGGGAGGATGTGAGCTTGCTGATAGTTGAAATCATAGTACGCATCCGACGCAATCGGCGACAATTCCTTGCCGTTTCGAAAGTGTCTCACGTGGATCTCTCTCCCCGTCAGATGGGAATGGAGAAATACCTGAAATACCTTGATCCCGTCTTCAGGGATCGCCTACAGCGGGAAAAAAAATCAGTTTTTACATATGGAAGTTCCTTGGACGGTTGTTCGATTTCTATGGGAAAAGGGAAAAAAATCTAATTCCGAAAGTAATGCGATCGTGCGTGTAATGAATTCAATTAGTAACCTAAATGAACCTCTTTCTTTCGGTACAAGGCTCAAAATGCTCATGAGTGTTCCTAGATGAGCCTTGAAATTGCTCCCATTTTTTCTTCAAGCAAACGGCAGACATACTTGGAAATTTTCAAAAATTTTGAGCCGCATGGAAAATAGCATCACACAATTGAAAATTGTGCTTTTTGGGGAAATTTGTGATTTTTGAATATTTATAGCTATCACAGCACTTTGAGTGGAATTTGAGGGCATAAACATGACACATATACCTCGTATTGCTAGATCTTTTCCCCTGATTTCGAAATCATATACGTGGTGTGATCAATAAGTTCCCGGACTGGTTCTGTAACTCCGTTATTCTTTGATGGATAGATGTCACTTCTCGTATGTATCTTGGGTTGGGTCTTGGGGGTACATGGGCAAAATTTCTTGCTTATTGGTTTTCCTTTGGATTTTTAAATAATTCTGTTCTAATGGACTCCTTGAACTACCCGGCGAAAAGCAGCAAGGAACATGATGAAAACAAATTGTGAATTCAGAACGCCATGTAATTTTTGTGAAATTAAGGGAAATGAACTTGTGGTAAGTTACGTGCTGCTGCGTTCGGAGCAGACGCTTCAGGCTGCTGGAGTATATTCGACAGGCACAGAATAATTTTAAATCGTTTGTGTCTGTGACAGGTCACGTGGACGACCCGAGTCGACCATCAAAAAAAGTTGGGAAGAGGACCAAAAGTGGAAGAAATTCTTCACAGAGTTCAGAAATTGACAATTCATGAGCTCTCCAAGAACTTGAATTTTTCTCATGACATTCATGGAGGTGCATCGAGGTTCCACTCTTGTGTGGATGTCGATGATCGCTCATCCTTGGGTCACCATGTTAAAAGTCTTCTTTTCTCCGAATCCTTTGTATCTGTGGAATACCTTCAAGGTTCCTGAGGTGTGGTACATTCGCCTTCTTCCACACATAATTTGACCGCCCTTAAATTTGTTTAGTACTAAAAAAAATTCCTCACGTATATTCGCTGACTAGTTCAAAGTGTCCATTGGAAAAGAATTATTTAAAAATCCAAATTAAAATCAATGAGAAATAAATTTTGCCTATGCACCCCCAAGACGCAACCCAAGACACATACGAGAAGTGACATCTGTCCATCAAAGAATAACGGAGTTACAGAACCAGTCCGGGAAGTTATTGATCAAACCACGTATCATGATGGGGTTTCATGAACATGACGTATTGCAAATTTCTAAATATGCAAAAAATTGGCAAATTTGACCGATTTTTTTTCAATACCACCGGAACGAAAAAAAAATTATGAAATAACTTCGAAAGTCTAACCTTTTTAAAGAACAATGGCGTTTGCGCGTTTGTTTTTCGACCCACATGAGCAGGAAAAGATGCCCCTTTTTGAAATTTCGCAAACTGTAACTAATTACTGCGCCAAAATGGCTCCATACCCGAACCCAAAAATGTTCACACTAACTTTGAGCCATGAGGGGCACCACATGACAATTTTTCGTCAATATTGGAAGGGGTCACCGCCCGGCCTCTGGCTGATGTGAGATGGAATGACCCAAATGCCATTGCTTGCGCGGCGTAGGCTTTTCGGAGCATCTCGTAGCACTCAGACGCCGTTTTCCACGTTTTGCGCTAAACTTTGCGTTTGCACGCTCCCCAAAGTCCAAGACGACGTTGCTAACACGCTTTCAGCAAATTCAATAAACAACGGCATGATGGCGCAGCTTTGTCATGTGACTTTTTTCAGTGTTGCTAGATGCGGACCATTAAAAACCACAGGTTTGTTTTCATTGCTTGCAAATAACAGTCAAAGGAAAAACAATCTACGACCTTTTAATCCACCCTCGTATTATGTGGAAGCGGATGCCTCTCACCTGTCGCGTGCAGTGTTCGGAGCAGATGGTATGAGAGGTGAAACGGGGCCGTCCAGGTGGAAGGACTTGCATGAAGGTGACCTTGTGACCTGTAAGCAATGTCGACGCTTCGATGGGCCTCAACTCCTCCGTATAGTACACCCGGACTCCACTCCGATCCACGATGCCTTACAAATTCATACAAGCATCGTCTCGCACTGATCTTAGTGACTGAAAAATAAGCTATAACTTTGATTTTCCATGCAGTAACGTCAGTGGTAGAAATCCCCACGGGAAAACAATGAATTGAGCTAATGAATGTCCGACCTTAACCTCCTTTCTCATTTCAGGCCTCCACATACGAGGGGGGGGGGGGGGGGGGAGAAAAGTTCATGCACTTTATTTTTTATTCTCATAACGCTTGCACCTAGAATCTACATCTTGCTATTTTATGATTATGGCAAGCCTGCATGCCATTCCTTACATTTCGCAGATTGGCAAACTTGCCGGAGCGGAAGTATTGATAAATTAAGATAGCTGAGGACCCTGCGAGAGAGCAGAGGATTTTGACGAAACTCCTTGAGATTGAGGGTGAGAAGGCCGCATCCGTCCAAAAACGGCTGCAAGATTTTCATAAGGACCAATGCCTGAAAAAAAAAACTAGCCGTATTCTAGTGGGTGAAACGGACGGCGGATTGAAGGCGACCCTCGCATAGGCCGCCCTGTCGCTGGAGTTAACATTCAGCGTCTGGACGGGCTTATTCGGGCAAAACGTCGCATTTCAGTCGATCAATTGGAACATCAAATCAGACTTTAAAAACATTTTGCAGCCATTTTTAGATGGATGCGGCGGTCGGACTGGCGACCAAGGGGCCCCTGCACTTCCCAGTTATTTTCACGTCAGATTAAAGACGCATTCGTTTTTGCGATATTTAGTGATATTGATGTCATGTCATATGATCAACTACACGGAAATTTCAGGAAAAAATAAAAATAAATCCAACGTCAGCACATTTATTAAAAGTGGATAATATGGCCATTCCCACGCAGGAAATCTGTTGATTGGCTCAGTTGCAGGATGAGATGATTGCATTCTCTGAACGCTTCTTGGATGCGTTGGTAGCTCATATGGGAGGTCACATCTCATACGATTACCGGAACTTGTTCTCAAATAACAATTACACAGAAATTATGTAAGTTTTTTTAAAGTTTTATCTCCCTCCTATCTACTTTCACTCCTTTTTTCAGGAGGTGAAAAGGATTAGGATTAGCTCCCCTCCTCAATCCACTCCCTGAACCATCCTCATCGCCCCCGCCCCCATCTCCACCCACCCTCCCCAAAGTCTGTTCAGGCATTGCATTGAGACGAGTCCATGTTCATAGCTGATCTGAGTGAGTCCTGCTTCCCTTCATAATGAACGTAGGAAAAGAATATTTCCATAGATAGAAATCGAGCGATGCTTTGCATTTTCCATTGTTTTATTCTCAATGGAAACGAAAAATCAGTCGTATGTTACTTGAATAATTGATGCCATTCACCCTTAACATTTCGGGGTCCACACCTGAGTTATCTCATGTTGGCCTCACGATGAAGGATAAAAAAAATGTGGATGACAGTGCTGACACATTCAAATTTACTCGGACCCCAAAGGGTTGAATATTAATCGGTCACATCCCTGCATGAATGTGTTTCAACTTCGTCAGGTGAAAGTCTTTTATCTTTTGATATGTATACATTTAAATAAATGAATAATTATGAAGTAACCACCCGGGTGGCTTTCTCGCATTTTCATCTATGGTTGCTTTCTTCCGCTTTGTCAATTCTGGGGTCTTTTTTCCGAACCCCGCGGCCTTCTCACCCTCAGTCACAAGGAATTTCGTCACAATCCGCTGCTCTCTCGCAGGGTCTTCAGCTATCTTAATTTACTTCCGCTCCGGCAAAGTTTGCCAATCTGCGAAATGTAAGAAATGGCATGCAGGCTTGCCATAATCATAATATAGCAAGATGCAGATTCTAGGTGCAAGCGTTACGAGTATAAAAAAATAAAGTGCACGAACTTTTCTGCCCCCCTCATATATCGATTGGCAAGATTCGAAGAGAATGAAAGTTCGGTCATAGACGTCTGCTTCTTTCACACCTTCGATTTCTAATACCAAGAAGTGTCCACATGTGATAGGTTAAAATGTGGAAGATGGGTAAGGTTCGGCATTCTTCAATGCCTCCCCGTTCAGGTTTCCACGACTGACATCACTGCAAAGAAACAAGTTACAAAAAAGAAATTGAGACAGCCTGAAACCGACGAATCGAGACCAACCTTTCTGAAGGGTTGGGTTGTTGTAATGAATCTCCATCATCATATATGTGGCACCACGATGCTCGTCGGCCAGGGGAATACCCACCCTCTCCGGCAGATATTCACCTGAAAGAGATGGATATGAAATCGCAAAAGACATTCAGATCATGGCATGGCTATCTGGTTGCCTGGTATTTCTCCGACATTTTCCCTTTTCATTTCTTCTCTCACAACTCGAAAAGTAATCCTATGAAGGGGCACACTCCTTATTAATGCCAGAGGGCTACAGACCGTGCCTAAAAATTAGCCGAAAGGGTACTGACAAAACAGCAGCTAAAAACTGTTTTCAAAAGCAATTTCCATTATCTCAAATGGTTTGCTCATAGACTTTCTCATAGATAGTCTTGGCATGCTAAAAAAAGAAAGTCATGAAACGCGTACGAATGTGTGTTAAAGATTCCAGAGATATCATTTCCCACAATTCCTGTGAAATTGAAGATGTTTTGGAGAAAAGCAGTTCTATATTGCATGTCAGCTCCGCAAAAATCCGAAATAGCTGAAATGCCCTTTGATTTCCGGTAGAGAAGGAGCCTCCATCTGAAGAGACCCAAAATTTAATTATTGCTCCGCAAAACCGTGCCCTCATGGGAAATGCTTCCAGACAAGCAGAGGCTAAAGGCTGTTTAATGCGATAAGGGATTCTTCTCTAGAGTAAATAAGGGGGAAATGGATATTTAAAGTTCTTTTGCTGTCATGTCGTTATCAGCCTCCGTATTAGAGCGAAAACACGTTCAGTAGAAACCGTCGAGTCTCTACGTAAGCCTCGATCGCCTAATGATGCCAATTTCCATTAAAACAAAATATGACGTTTTCACAACTAATTCGAGTGCGTATTTTGCACAACGATGCCAAATAACATCAAACCAGTCTCTCGCGGACCATTGCTTTCCCCTAAAAAAAAAAAATTTCAAAGTGAAATTTAAATAATAATTCAAACTAAATGATAATCGACAGGTGTTTTCTGCAACATTTTCATAATTCATGCGATAGAGGATTAATTTTCACAAGTCCTACCTGTCAGAACTTCATTTTGCACTTTTCAGAGATTAACCTCCTCTAGACACGAATATTCCATTGCCCCACGTAGAGCAAAATGTGATACCATATTTGCATTCTCTTAGTTCTTTTGATGTTGGGGACCTTTCAATGAACAGATTCAAATTGCTTTTATTCATTTCACAATAAACTCTCATGAGAATAACCTCAACTCAATTAAGTGGATTCTCATAGATGTGCATCACAAATTTGAATGAATTCAAATTCCATGGATCAGATGTCGCCTATTATATTGGATCAAAAAGGTCTTGTGTTAACTAAGGACGTCGCTAGAAATTCCTGGAGGTTCAGTTTTTTTTGTGGCTCATTATGTGACAGAATGAAGGACGTGGACAGGAGAGTCATTGTGGGTAGTTGGGGGAAGGGGAAGGGGGGAGGCGGAGGAGGTTAACCCTCTCACTGTTCTACAGGGAAAATGCCCTCCCTTGTGTAGTGGCAGCCCTCCACTCGGGCTACCACTACACAAGCAGCGCGCGCAACCCGAGTATGTACTTGGGCTAACAGCGAAAGGGTTAATAGCTGTTATCCAATCTCCAAACCAGTTTGGGGGAAGAGAGGGAGAGATGATCCCATTCATAATGCATTCTATTTTTCATGTTCTAATATTATTTAATAATTATTATCATCTATTCCCATGAAATCTTGCTCAAATCGGGCCCCGGTGTAAGCAAAGGTCACTGGGCACATTTCACTTCCAGTATCAACACTATCAAACAGCGTTAAAGACAGTCGATATGGTGGTCATCTTGTTTACCTACACATGACAGTCATAACAAAGAAAATACCTTATGAAGTTTCCGTAAGAAATGCTGACTTATGGGTACAACGCATGTTGAAGTTTTCTAGCAGAAATGGTGAAATTTCGCAAAATGTGAATTTCGACAAGCCCTTGAGCACAATGCACAACAGATGCGCCACGAATCTGACTTGTCGAAACTGGGAGAGAGATGGGTGCGAAGTTGACACAAGTGTAGCGGATAGAGTTATAATGTGCAAATGTTGGTCATTTGCAAAGAGTCTGACTTTCAACGTAAATTAAGTTTGCCAATAAGAATAACTGGCCACTTACTCTATCTGAACGTCTTGTTACTCGATGGTCAACGAAATGTTGGTCAATGAACGAAAGTATCATGATTACAAGGTATCATCGTTCCAGTGTTTACATTGTAAGTGAACACGCACTGACTGAAAATACCTTCGGATCCGACGGCCCAAGCGACGATTTCCTTTTGGCAGTAGTTCCAGGAGATGGGCATGTTGGGTGCATAGCAGGGAGCACCGGCGTGAGAGACGTACTTCTCGAACACACCGCTCGAGGTCAGCTTGGAATGAGCGGGGAGGCTGCACTCGTACAGGAGCATGTGGTGCACATATACCTCGTGATCTGCTTCAATCACCGGCACATACTGATAATGACATCAACATCATTTCTTAAACTGTATTCTTCTTGGTGATTGCTGAATAAGCAATTGTAAAAAGTCTCGAAATTAAATTCATTGCAACACTTACATGAAGGCTATGAAAATTCCATCGAAATTTTCATCCAAATCTCCCCTCATTGGAAGGATTGAAATATATTCACAGTCTGCTCGCTAGAGATGTTATTTAAATGTTATGTCATCATATCGCGCAAGACTTGTTCATGCTTGACCATTCGAAAATATCATGCTAACTCACTCCAATCATATGATGAGGTCTGGCCTGGATTTCAGGAGGAACCTTGAAGATCTTGCACCAATAAAGAGTATCTCTGTCACTCGGAATCTCCACCTAGGAAAAGGACATTTTACATTACTTCATCCGTTGTCCTTTTTGATGGTGACGTGCAATAGCTCTATGGTGGAACAGCCAACATCAGGAGAAAGGATATCCCATTTCTTAAAGTTCCTTTCTTCAGCAGGCGAAAGATTATTTTCCAGAGGCGGGCTGAAGAGATAGACGCTTCTGGTGCCCCTTCGACTCCGGTCGTGGTATTTGGGTGTCCAAGAATCTTCCTTTCCTTCCGGGTCCTCGGGGTGCCAAGACCAGATCAGGCGAACCGTCCCTTCCTGCAATCATAATAACGAAATACCCATTCCACTACACCAATAATAAAATTGCCTTATCATGAGCTGGAGAAATCATTGGCTGAATCACATTAAACAAGCTAGAACGGAACTTGCGGGGCATAGGGGAAAATCCTCCCGTGAAGGAATATGTACTGTTTGTTGAAACTTCACGCTGTTCAAGGAACTGCCAGTTTCTGGAAACAAACTAAAAGGTTTTAGGCAAAAAGATGGACAATCCAGTTTTCCCGCTCCTAGAAACTCAAGCTGTCCATGAACAGTCTCATGCTTGAAAATTTTTTAAAGTATCATGTATCTGGTCAAATGAATGATTCAGGGAGAAGCAACAGGATGCGAACGAAAACATGAAAGTCCGTTGAATGTTCGATTCTCTGCGGAATGCCATGGGCGTCTTCATGTCATTGTCCTCTCTAGAAGATAAATTCTGAGTCGCTGGTGCAAGTTCATAGCAACAGTGGGAAAAAGAAAATTCAACTGAATCTAGGATTCCAAATCAATAATTCTGCCAGATGCGTGGAAACCTCTTTATGAGGCCTACTGCGGCAAACATCAGTTGCTAGAGATCTGTTCAATTAATACAGAGTTGCATTAAGATACACTTAATGCAGCCATATAGTTATGCAAGCTGTGATTTCCAGCTGAGAAGTTGCAGTTGAGTTGGTTACGCGATGCGGAACAGCAAAAAAAGTTCCAGACAGTTGCAGACAGTGATGAAGTTTACATCAGAAAATGCCACGCAATTGACCCCATTTAAATGGCTTCCACAACTATCAATAGTTTCTCACGGTTCGGTGGGGTGCTCATTCATATGGCGTCATATTTGGGAAGCATGATTCGCATTCGAATTCGGGATTAGTTGATGAGATGACGACTAAGTGGCTTGCTTCCCCGTATTCCGTGTACGTAACAACCAAATGACACAAAATAAGGATCAATTTTGAATACGAACCCCAAGAGGGAAGTCCTGGCCATTGTAAGAACAATCTTGAAGGTATTTGAGGAAGACGATATCCGTGTGGGTCTCGTTCTGTTGGCCTGATTCCACGGTCACATCCTGCTTGTCGTCCAACACAGGACGCTCCTCACCCTTTGCATACATGTCCTACCAAAGACAAGCACTCCAAAAAATAAGATACGACGGTCATCCGTCAACCATTAACTCATCCCCGTTCCCCGTCTGCTTTCCGATTAACGAGTGCATGTAAACAAGATATACTTATAAAGCATCCTTCGGGATGAAGCTATCGCCACGGCTTTAAAGGCTTATGCTCGTGATTCTGTCCCAGCAGTACTTAGATCCAAAAATAGAGGGAAAAAGCATGAATTAGAAGAGCTTGACGTACGAGTGCATGTGGTGTTCCGGTGTGATCTTGGACCCAGAGGAGGGTGATGTCAGCCCCAGCCATCCCTCCATTCGGCGAGAATCCGATTCCCATCCAACCAAGGGTCCTTCCCGTGACCTTGAACCTGATGACCTTGCCGCCGGGCATTGCCATCCATTGAACCCGGAGAATCCCTTCCCCGTCTAGCACCATCTCATGCGTCCACTCCGAGAAGCCGAATGAGAATTTCGCTGACAAGCTCAATACAATCAGGAGGAGCAACTCCATAGTCACCTGCACTCACTTCACTACCAATACAGATCGACTCTCGTTAGTACATAGCCGCTTAACACGGACCTCCCTTTAGTACGCACAAAATGTGCGACTCAGCTTTCGTTTTATTTCTTTAAATGACTCTCGATTCCGGTTTGTACGTATTTGCTTTGTACGGACCTTCGGTTAATAGGTACAACTTGAGATGGTTCACTGTTCAAATTTGGCCCTGTTAGTACGTATTTGCGGTCGTAAATTACAGATATGCGGTATTCTCGGCGTCAGTTACATTCTGTCCTTCACGATCGCGGCGCCTGTTTCTGCTCTCGAATCCCCGCGCATATATGATAGGTCTACAGCAGCGGTATTCAAAGTGCGGTCCGCTTCATGGTTTTATGCGGCCCACTAAGATTAACAGTTTTTTTTATCATTTAACCGCTTTATTGGCACTGATGAATAATCGCGATGAGCACATTTTGTAATTACACGTTTCAAATTCTTTCCTGTAAACGAGCAAGTTTAGTCATTGTTTAGATATTCAGATTTATAAATATCTGAATACATGCTTACATTTAAATGCTTGTGTAGTTAGTTGTGCACATGCTGAACTTTCCCAAAATTCGGAGCACCCATATAATGCAGAGGAAAATGCATTTCCTTGAAGTTCCTTGAAGTAAATGAAGTTAGGAAGAAATAAAGAGCATTTATGGAAAATACAACTTGTAACAAGCAGCACTGATGCGTTTAAATGAGCTGACTCCAAGTAGTCACGTAGTAGACACAGAAACCCCCAGTTCCCCCAGTTTGCCCCAGTTTCCGTGGCTACGAGAGGGAAATGCGTGTGGATGCGGCAGCAACAGTCAGTTTTCGATTGTTGCTCGTTTTTTAAAGGGGACTTCCTGGTTTAGAGTAGCTTCACCGAGTGGTCGATGGCCATATAAAGGATTAACCATGTAGAAATGCTGTACAATGCGGCCCACTTCAGGTTGACTGACGTTATTAGTGCGGCCCACTCAAGGTAAACCAGAGTGTCCGTGAGGCCCTCGCCTCAAAAGGTTCGGGGACCACTGATCTACAGGGACTAGACATAACAGAGAACATCATTTATGGCAATTTTTGAGCCGAGAAATAGTAGGGAGACAGACGCGTTTTTATTCCTTATACTGCGGAGGAGCTAGGTATAGATAGAGTGTACGAATACGCGTCTACCTACACTGAAATATTTATTCTCCAATTCGCCGATAGAGTGACCACGAATTGTGACGGCACGCGTTAATGGGTGGAGGCAGGTACAGAAAAGATATGTGAAAGCCTCATCACTTGAATTAGGGATGTCCTTAACCGTATTTGCTTGTGCAACATGGTGATTGTCCTCTATGCATGCCATATCATGCAAATATCGCAAGTATAAATCACAAAAAGGTTAGAACACGATCACGCGTTCCTTACTCTTGGCTGTAAAATATTGTTCTTTACGAATTACCAATGAAATCCAGTAATTCAGCACAGTACAATGTCAGAAAAATGCGACTTACACTTACTTGCAAGTCCCAATTCTAGGCACTCTTGGTCTAGGAACGTCCTAAAACCAAATGTGCCGTACAGATCCATTTTTTTCATTTTTTGTCTGATGTTGGACCGATTATGAAATCGCTTTGAGGATAAATTGCTTCGCCTATATTTAGGCAATAGTGCTAATTATTGACAATACTTCCCAGCATTTAGCCATTTTATCAATGTCGATTCAATGCTGAGCCAATATTACCCCCCGAATGCAAATTCTATCGTAAACCCCATTGAGTCACTACTAAAAAAAAAACTAAAGTTATGATGTGAACCTGGAGATGTACGCTGTCAATCGCCGGAACCACGCACTGTAAGCACACACATCACTACCACTGTCTTGGTTGCAGGTCTACACTACGAATACGTTGTCCTTTAAGCAATTGTAACTTTTCCAGCTTTTTTGGCCTGCAATTGGTCGAAAAACCAAAGAAATCTGATTTCCCGGAAGGAAGCACAGCTTAAGTCGCAGAATATGAATCCAGAGGCCAGGTTTTTGAGAGGAGTGCTCGGAATACCAAAAGGTACCACTCAAGCTCTGGCTTCCTTGGCTATATTCCACTACGGCACAATAGGGCTGTTGACTATACCAAAACACTTTTTACCTCGGACGTCATAAGAGTAGCTTCCCAAGTCGACAATTAGAGACGAAAATTCTGCTTTAAAGGAAGCAGTGAAATAGACAGGGTAACGAATGAAGCCACTTCTCCGAATCCAAGCCGCTGGAGTCAACCGGTAACGGACTGTAACTGAGTCTTATCTCGGACGATCTTCCCTCGGGGGAGTCTTCCTATCTGGGGCATTGATAAATTGGACATCGCAATACGAAGTAACCACTGCAAGTGGATGACGGACTGGGCGGTGCTCTCTGCTCCCATTCCTTTTCAAAACGAGAATGGGGTTTTCATTAAGGAAAGGTGTGAAGGAGAACAAGCATTGCTGTGTTATCGGTTGCTTTGCGAAAGCACCAAGGAATATGATTGAGGCCTTCCATGGCATTCCCTGACCCATGGAAAAAGCAGAAAGAGCCAGTATCTGAGCGTAAGGGAGGTCGTGAAGAGCCGGGAAGAATGACAAGTCCATACGCAAAAAGTGGGAAGCTATCCATCCATCATGTATGTTTCTTCACAAGAGTATTTGGAAAATAACACTTCTGACTTCATTTGAGAAAATCATTGGCCACACAATTCTAACTTAACACATTGAGCCCCGGAACCGTAATTTTACGTTTTGACGTAGTCAAGTTTTCACGTGCCCGGGACTCAATGTGTTCAACCCCCCACTGACTACGGAACGTGCAACGAATTGAAGGAGCTTGTTTATGCTAGTCACTGTATGCCATTTAAAACACTTGATGAACTGAAGGCTTGGATTGAGGAAGTGTGGCCTCCTGTGGATAATGATTAAATTAAGAAGTCAATCGACCACTGGAACAGCGCTTGAGAACAGTTGAGCGGAAAGGAGAAACCATTCGAGCACCTATTCTCTCGAGGTCAGTTGCGCTTCCGTTGCACACGCCCTCATTTCACTTCGCTTGGGAAAATAGCCCTTACTAGAGTTCTGACAGACTTCATTGAAACTTTCGTGAAACTATATACATACAGTGTCCATTCGCTGAGTGCATTAAATTGGAGACATCTGGCGACAGGAAGCTTAAAAAATGAGCTGGGGAGAATCAAGCGCGCAAACTTCAATGAGTTTCTTATAGAAACATGCAGATAGAGATTGTTTTTACTACGAAAATGCTTCCTTTTCTTTTCAAGAGGGATTTCCTCTGGCCAAGAATGATTATATAGTACTTAATCGATGGTCTGAAGTTTCTAATTGGAGCATCCAGGCAGCCTGAAAGGCCTGTTAAGATGTTTCTTTCAGTCTAGGCCTTCGCTTTCCATCGACTTATGAAAACTTTTGTTATTTGCTGTCACAGAATAAATAGCCAGCATTAACCCTTGACGTGATAAGTTTTATCATAAGGTACTAATCGAAAAGGGTTTCTGTCATTGGTTATGATTTAGCCCAAGAAGCAGAACTAATAGAAAGCAGCACTAAAGAGAATACAGAAGCAATGGGAGTCAAAACTTCAAGTTTAAAGCAGTTTCCCGTTGTAGAGAATTTATAAGAAACTTGAAGATATTAGTAGCATCCCACTCATATGATGGACATGTACCTCACTGAGCCCGTGATTCCGTGGAAGTCCTTGCATTCGGCTTCGACGAAAACCTACATCTTCCTTGAAGGTGAAGTTTGATAAGATTGTTCGATAGGATTGAACTACGTTTTTGCACACCCCTGAACTCTGTCGCATTTATAGCATGTTTTACTTCGGCTAGAAGCGCCCTTTATCATTGTCGTGGCTCTCAAGTTTTGAGAATAAAATGTGAGGAGTCCCACGTGAAGAAGAATCGTGCAATTCTGTGAAGACATGGCTTTGTTTCATTCTCCTCCTTATGTGCGACTCCCCCCAGTCATGGGCGGGGCTATACTTAAAACGCGCCATCCAGTGTTAGTGCACCCAGCGAATAAAGTTACTTCCCTATTTCAAAAGCACCAATTGCTATTACGGAGCGGCCAAAAACTTGATATTCGGCAAAGAGGATGTACAACCAATGGGATTTATGAAAGCAAAGTTTCCAACGGTTTCCAAATAGTTTATGGATATCATCACCAGGGCGGCGCTGTACCGGCTAGAGATACGTTCCAAAGTCGGCACATATACTGTACCTACATCGGCGTGGATGGCACGATCAGGTATACCTGCAGGTATTCGATGTGGCCGTCCCCTCCCTCTCCCACCGCCCCCATCCATGTAATGAAGTGGTAAACGGCAGAAAGTAATTAGTTAGACAACAGCGACCGAATCTGGCGCCACATGGCGCCGCTATGCATTCCTTTAGCTTCATTAAGTTCGCAGGACGGCCGCTGTAAACCCCACACCCAGAAGTCCGCAGGTGTAAGATCCGGTGGCCCTGGCGGACAGGTCTGTGGGAAAGCCCTGCTGATGACATGGTCCTGGAACGTACGTTGGAGGAGAGACTTGACATGCCTCCCAAAGTGTGGAGGGACCCGTGTCTCTGGCCGGTACAGCGCCGTCCTGGTGGTGATACCCGGAAAATTTAGGTAACTTTGCTGTTATAAATCCCATTAGTTGTACATTCTCTATGCTGAATTTGAAATTTCAAGATCGTTCCTTACTGGAGATAGGATCTTTTGAAACAGGGAAGTAACTTTATGGACACCCTGTATATTGAGTGTGGCATCCTGATGTTTTCCTACCAATACCAAGTATGGTGTTCCAATGTGGCCGTGTAAAGTTGGAACGCTAGTTTTTTGGGCCACCCGGTATAAAAGATGGAACGAATTATTGATAATATCACTTAAAATCATTGCAGCCGCTCTTACGATACGAATGCGGATGCGTCTTGCTGCATCTGCTTCTCCCAGCAGAGCAGTTTTGAAGTGCTTTCACGATGAGTTCACACAACTCCAAATGGGCACTGGCGTTACCGAAGTTTCGACTCCAGGGACATCTACCGAATAACAGTTCATGCCAGACCGGAGGAAACGTTCGTTCCGCTGCTGTAGGTTAGCCCAAAGAAAACAATGGTTTGCATCAACCCTCCCTTACTGTCTGGGGTCTTTTTAGAGCTCATTGGATCAAACTCTTGAAATTATCACGATTGATGCATTATGTAACTCAAATAAACATCGGATGTTTCGAAGTTTATTGGGGGATATTGTTTTTGCATACGTTGTGAACTGCCCATAAATGATAGTCATATGGTTCTCACAGTAGCCATGAATCTAGTCAAATGTAGTCAGGAATAATAGAGTCAAAAGAGGTCCAGACACCCTTCACGTTTTGTGTTAACAAGGGAGGGTGAACCCTTTGCATTCAATTTTATTTGTAGCGCCATGGAGATTGTCGGACTACTGGTATGTCCGACAGTGGATCACAAAGGGTAAGGCCGAGTTCATACTCGTGCTGTACAGCATGCTGTACAGTAGAAGAATGTGAACTCATCGCGAAAGCACTGTACGCCCCTGGTCGGATTAGTCGGCACACATATGACGTCATACGTATGATGGCGTCCTATATGGGCATTGCCTTGAGTACACGTGTGGCTTCCTTGTCTTTTGTCATTATATTCATTTTATTTTTCTTTGGTGAATTTTGTTCTTGGAAAGTGAAATGAGTGAAGATCGAGAGGTGTTGCGAGCAGTATGGGATGGGAAATTGCCCGTCAGCATCTCGATGGCCCCAGAAGAGGTGGATATGGTCAGTCAGCCTGAACGTTGCTTGTTGATGGTGCCTCGTGTCGCATATCTTCCCCTGTTGGTTGAGAAAGTCAAGAAGCATTTCAGCCGATATCTTTCTTCAGATAAAAGCAACTTAGGCGATACTTGGTTTGAATACAACTCCTCTCCAATCAAATGGTAAGCTGGGCCAAATGATTAGCTTGAGTGGTATCTGTTAATATAGTTCAATCTAGGTAAATGACGCTTTTGACAATATCCAGAGCATACACCCCCACCATGCCATGCTTACTGAGGCCCATAGTGGGGCCTCAATAACCATACTACCATACCAGTTGCCATTACCGCTTGCCAATCATAAGACTGTGCCTTGACATTGACAATATATAGTGTCATTTAAAAAATAGCAATTAGATATTCCACTGGTACTCAGATGATATCATGCCATGCAAGGCCAAACCATGTTCTGGAAGATCAAAATGTAGGTTTATATATTTTACTTCCTTTTAGTGCTGGGGCATCCAAAGTTTCTGAGTAGTGAGCCACATTGGAAGTAATAAAAATGGTGCTGCCTAAATATCCCAAAAATTTTTTTAGAAATGGGAAATCCTCTTTTGAAAAGTAAACTTAAAATACAATCCTACATGCATTTATTTACTTGAAACATGTGAAGTGATGGATCTGACCCTCAGGACATACTTTGAACACCCCTGTTTTAGTACCTTTGACAGGGATCCTTCATTATGTGAACACCTAGGTTATGCCGACTTTGCCTTGTGTACTTCCCCCCTGTTCAGTGCACACTATGGAGTACAGATATCCTCATTACACACTCATTGAGCTACACATTTGACATGGTGCACCCAAAGTTGTTGGAACCTCAAATTCTTACTTAAGTTTCTTCTATGAATTAAAACACTCCAAAAAATCTGATTTCATGAGATTCCCTGGCAAGAGCCTCAATGTCTCTATTTGTAGGCAGGTCAATGGGAATAGGAACTCTTTCACATAGAAATAATCTCTACTGCTCATGCCATGGTAATGTAGTTGCTGTTCAGGCAGGCCCAGGACTCCTGCCAAAGCCTTGGAGAGCAGTGCCACACCATTGCCTGCTGATTGGTTTTCTGCCAGTCATCCTGGACATCACTGAGTTCATCTCAGGGTGCACATGGGAGCCACATCAGGAAAACTGGACTTGGGACCTATCATTCCAAAGAAACAGTTTGAAGTGATTCTCCCTCCCTCCACATGACTGTGAGGTTCAGTTGGTTGAGTGTTACCACCCATGAGAACCTCCAGTTCGAGCTGCTTCTCAAGATTGAGGGATCTTGAGTTCGGTTTTCCTGACATGTCTCTCACAAGCATCCAGAGATGTCAAATGATGGGACATCTCTACTGGACATGACATAGAAAATTGGGGAGTAGTAGGCCTACCAAACGTATTGTGAATACAGGTGAGTAGGGGGGAGGGTTCACACAGTGTCCACAGTGTTCACATAATGAAGGATATCTCTCAGCAATTTTTTCTAGTAAAATCATTAATGCTACAATGCATATTCCTCTGAAACTTCACTTTAGTGACCCACCTGGATAAGGTAGGATTCTACATACATTCTACATTCTTTCCCTATCCAAGAAAGCTGATGAAACCCTAGTCTGAATCTCAAGCCCCAAAGTGATTCAGTTATTCTTTGGGAATTCAGGGGCAGTGATGACACTTTCTGTTATAAGAAAAACAGGTGCTCTGTGCCTGCCCAGACTACAATCCTCATATCTTAACCTTAAAATTAAAATTTAATTTCTTGGTGCTACTGGTGGTCCACTTTGGAACTTTCCCTATTTTCATTCTTGGTTTCTTGCTAGACTGAGTGCTTGTCTTTTCATCATTAGCTGAGACTGTTGTCAATCGTGAAAAACTTTGACGAGAAGGCATTGATAATTACTGAACTTGGCACTTTGTCAGATATGTGAGGCTCTAACACATGGGCACTTGATGGTATTGATATTGAATACCAAGTGTCAGATGAAGCAGGTCCCACATGAAAATTCCATATATGACAGGGTGTATGATTCTATATGGCCATGTTTGATCATATATTTACCATATACCACCATATATGTATTCATATATTATCAATTGTATGACATATAATATATTTTACCTGCATTACAATATTAAGTGTAATGGGCTAATGGCATCATGTTTGATTTGTGGTAAATATCCATAGACAAGTCTTATGGTTGTAAGTAAAACAAAGCATGATATCAGTGGCCTATTTTGGCTGAAGAGTCAGGGAGACAGTGCAGCAGAGCAGGTGTTTAAAGCCCTGTCCCAGGGATGCTGGGGGGTGGGGGAGCAGCTGCCCCCCCTGCCCACTAACATATGTATGTGTGAAATTTGATGAAAGAAAGAATAACTGAACCAAGTAGCTAGGAGTCATCCCATTTGGATCCTACATGAGACAAAATGACATCCTATGGATGTCATGGAATCGTCCTAGGATGGGAAAATTCCTGGAACATCTAGAGGACAATCCGTAAGGTAAGGAATACTCTCATCCTATACGCCAAATCCTCTGTGTGTCTATGGGACATCCATTATGGGACACATCCACATCCCACAATGGATATCCCATGGACACATGAGGATTTGGTTTATAGGATGAGAGTATTCCTTACCTTACGGGATGTCCTCTAGATGTTCCAGGAATTTTCCCATCCTAGGACAATTCCATAATGACATCCATGGGATGTCATTTTGTCTCACATAGGATTCAAATGGGATGTCTCAGGGATGTCCTGTAGCTCATTGGGGAAGAAAGACACATCTCCCAACTGTAACTCAGTTTCCTTCATTGAACCATTTCTTCCTGGGACCATTCCAGATTATTCCAGGATTATTTCAGAAAGAAACACAGATTTTATTCCCATCTGTCTTGTGAGTTGTCAGTCAAAATGAAGAAGACACTCCTACATGAGTAAGCCAAGTTTTGTCATGAAATAGCATTACTGATAAAAAATACTTATGAAGATTGAGGTCTATAATATTGAAACTTTCACCTTCAGGAACAAGGGTGCATATGTTGAACACCATGAAACATGAGTTCCTGGGGTAATTGACTATGTTCTATGAACAATTAAAAATGAGTTGATTGCAAGAAGAATAAGTATAGTATGGTGACTTGCATATGAATAATTATTGTTTCAATATACAGTATTTGATGGATTATGGACCATTTTAGGACACAGGCATGTTTCAGGTAATCTCACCATACATAGATATGACATAGCATGTATGGACAATATGGTGCATTTGTATGAGATAATATATGAAAATGTATGGGGGCATGTATTTTCATTCTGATATGATTTTATGTGACTTGTGTCAAACCCCATATTTGTTTATGTGTTTCTTTGTCAAGCAGGCATTACCCAGTGGGAGTCCTATATGACTTGCTGGGCTCAGATTCACCTCTTCCTCCATCTGTCTTGTGAGTTGTCAGTCAAAATGAAGAAGACACTCCTACATGAGTAAGCCAAGTTTTGTCATGAAATAGCATTACTGATAAAAAATACTTATGAAGATTGAGGTCTATAATATTGAAACGTTCACCTTCAGGAACAAGGGTGCATATGTTGAACACCATGAAACATGAGTTCCTGGGGTAATTGACTATGGTCTATGAACAATTAAAAATGAGTTGATTGCAAGAAGAATAAGTAAAGTATGGTGACTTGCATATGAATAATTATTGTTACAATATACAGTATTTGATGGATTATGGACCATTTTAGGATACAGGCATGTTTCAGGTAATCTCACCATACATAGATATGACATAGCATGTATGGACAATATGGTGCATTTGTATGAGATAATATATGAAAATGTATGGGGGCATGTGTTTTCATTCTGATATGATTTTATGTGACTTGTGTCAAACCCCATATTTGTTTATGTGTTTCTTTGTCAAGCAGGCATTACCCAGTGGGAGTCCTATATGACTTGCTGGGCTCAGATTCACCTCTTCCATGGTCCATTGTGGTACACTTCTCAGAATTCCCCGAGCATCAACTCCTTCGATTACATTCCAAGTAGGGAAATGGCCCATTCCTTGTTTATATCCCAGCAGTTAATCTATTTTTAACCAAAGAGGACATTATGCTCAGCTTCATTTATATTATTGATTCATGATTATTCAGGGAAGCAGTAGAGTCCCTATTCCTTTCTACTGTGAAAGAGGCAGATGCATTAAAGCATCGTGGCACTGTTGTGTCCAGTATGCAGAAAAAGGAGCACACTCAGCTTTGGTTGGGCCTTCTTAGTGGTAAGACTTTTTCCTTGTTTCCTTTTCTTGCAGAAGACTCATTTTTAAATAATTGAGTTGTGAAAGTAGGGTTTTTGTATTCCAGTGATAAGTGCTCTTACGTCATATTGGTATTATAGATGGCTGAAATGCTTTTCTATTAGCAAAGGAGTTTGAATTTCTACATCTTCCAGATCGATTTGACCAGTTCTGGTCAGTGAATCGAAAGCTGATGGATGATTCAAGTAAGTTCCGGAGCATTCCCCTGCGAATCCATCAGTGGGAAGGACCATACATCCAACGGCTGTTGCCTGCATTTCAGGAAGAGGAGCAAGGAAGGAGATCCACAACTCTTCTTGATGCTCTAGCAAAATGCCTACCTTCCTTCATTCCTGGTGAGATTTCCACTTCTTCAACAAAGTAGTTTTGATGATAAATATCCAGTAGGTATGACTGTAGCATTCACTGGTATGTACATGGTACCAGTGTGGGAAACTCTTAGAATGTATTGGGTTGATGTGAAGTGACTGACTTTCTCCAGTGTCCAGGAAGAAATGATTTGCTTCTTTGCCACCTCAAGTTACATTCATGTTGTAACCATATGCTGTAAGGCTGAGGGGGAATAAGGAGCAATCATGGGAATTATGAAGGAAAAGACTGAAAATGGTTAAATTTATGTTTTAATTGCTATTGTAATGCAAGTACTGGAAGTTGAAATGGAATATGTGCCACCAATATTATATGCTTCAAAGATGTGTCCCTCCTTTTCAGACAGGGTTTGTAATTTACCAGGAGGGAAGGTTTCTTTTATTCCATTGGTAAAAATTGAGAAAAAACTGATTAAAATAGTGACATTTTCTAAGAAAATACCCCCTTAATTTTAGAATTAAAGATTGCTAAAACACTATGATAAGGATATAACATAAGGATTATGTAAATTCACATAATCAGCTTGATAAAGTAGTTGAGAAACTCTAATGCAACTCCTCTCCTTACAAGATTATTTATTATTTTTAAGCAATGATGGCTTTATAACGTCATACATCTCCAACTGGGAGAAAGAAATATATGTGTGATCTTCACCAATAAATTGGGAACCATTTACATCATGCAGGGGGCTGGAGTTTTGAACAACCATGTACACAATATTTTGTCCCATATTGAAGAAGCTCCAGAAACTTAGTAGATGGTGATTAAGAATACTTCTGTTCCCAAGGCCGTAGTGGATGTCCCGATTTTGGGCTGTGTACTTGCTAGCTCTGTTGGAGTGGAAAGGCTGTTTTTCAAACTTGGTGTATACATATTTATCACAAGAAACAACTTCAGCTTCCAAAAACTGAAAAGCAGGTGCATATCTTTTGGGGAGATATTCTTCCTCTGGTTGGTGGAAATTATAGGTTGGAGAGTTATTATGAATGAACCTTGTAGTTTGCTTCTGCTTCTGATAATTTATCAGTGATATGGTAGGTTCTGTTGATATTTGATCTTGGATATTAGGTCCTCATGAGTTTTGACACAGAGATTGACTGATATTGGAGTTTGCTGAATATTCTGATATAAATTTTTATTCATATTTGCAGCCAATCACTGATAAAATATCGGACAACATTTCTGCCTTAAATGTGAAGAAACAAAATCATCTTGATTTGCTTATCAGCAGAGCTTGATTCATCTAATATATATAGACGAACGTGACTGACTGATGCTAATTCCGAGCATGTTCTAGAGAAGTTAGAAATCTGAAACTTGATAGGATGTAGAGTTCAGAAAAAATCTGACTTTGGAGGTACATGCCCTGGAGGCACACATTTGGGGGGGAGACTTAAAGGAAACATTTTTTGCTTCAGTCAAATCGAGAGACTTGGAAAGCTGAAACTTGACATGAACTGAGACAATGAGTTCAAGAAAATTTTCAAGTTTCAGATGCATCCCCTGGGTGCATATTTTTTTGGATGACGTTTTCAAATAATTTTTTTTTTTGCCCTAAGAAATTGGGCCGAAATAGAAATGTGAAATTTGGCACACACACAATTGATGTGATGTTGAGTTCAGGAAAAATTCAACTTTTGTGGTGCACCCCCTCAGGGCATAGCTTTTGGCTGGGTTGGCTTTTCCAAATATATTTTTTCTCCAATGGAAAGGGCAAACATATAAGACTGAAACTTGATGAGCATNAGTTGAGAAACTCTAATGCAACTCCTCTCCTTACAAGATTATTTATTATTTTTAAGCAATGATGGCTTTATAACGTCATACATCTCTAACTGGGAGAAAGAAATATATGTGTGATCTTCACCAATAAATTGGGAACCATTTACATCATGCAGGGGGCTGGAGTTTTGAACAACCATGTACACAATATTTTGTCCCATATTGAAGAAGCTCCAGAAACTTAGTAGATGGTGATTAAGAATACTTCTGTTCCCAAGGCCGTAGTGGATATCCTGATTTTGGGCTGTGTACTTGCTAGCTCTGTTGGAGTGGAAAGGCTGTTTTTCAAACTTGGTGTATACATATTTATCACAAGAAACAACTTCAGCTTCCAAAAACTGAAAAGCAGGTGCATATCTTTTGGGGAGATATTCTTCCTCTGGTTGGTGGAAATTATAGGTTGGAGAGTTATTATGAATGAACCTTGTAGTTTGCTTCTGCTTCTGATAATTTATCAGTGATATGGTAGGTTCTGTTGATATTTGATCTTGGATATTAGGTCCTCATGAGTTTTGACACAGAGATTGACTGATATTGGAGTTTGCTGAATATTCTGATATAAATTTTTATTCATATTTGCAGCCAATCACCAATAAAATATCGGACAACATTTCTGCCTTAAATGTGAAGAAACAAAATCATCTTGATTTGCTTATCAGCAGAGCTTGATTCATCTAATATATATAGACGATCGTGACTGACTGATGCTAATTCCGAGCATGTTCTAGAGAAGTTAGAAATCTGAAACTTGATAGGATATAGAGTTCAGAAAAAATCTGACTTTGGAGGTACATGCCCTGGAGGCACACATTTGGGGGGGAGACTTAAAGGAAACATTTTTTGCTTCAGTCAAATTGAGAGACGCTGAAACGAGACGAGAAAAGCTGAAACTTGACATGAACTGAGACAATGAGTTCAAGAAAATTTTCAAGTTTCAGATGCATCCCCTGGGTGCATATTTTTTTGGGATGACGTTTTCAAATAATTTTTTTTTTTGCCCTAAGAAATTGGGCCGAAATAGAAATGTGAAATTTGGCACACACACAATTGATGTGATGTTGAGTTCAGGAAAAATTCAACTTTTGTGGTGCACCCCCTCAGGGCATAGCTTTTGGCTGGGTTGGCTTTTCCAAATATATTTTTTCTCCAATGGAAAGGGCAAACATATAAGACTGAAACTTGATGAGCATGTAGTTTGCCAAGTACTGATTTCAGTAACAATTTTACTTTTTAGGTAAAACCCCTCTGGGCATATTTTATTTGCAAGAGGTGCATTTTTTCTGATCTTTTTTTTCATCCAATGAAACAGAGAGATAGAAAGTTGAAACTTGGCACAGAAGTACCTGATGGATAGATGAGTAAAGAAAAAAATCATACTTTTGAAATATGTCTTGCAAGGGCAGATTGTGGTTGAGAAGTATTTCAAGATATATTTCCTGCTTAGACAAAAAGGGGCACATAAAGATATTTGATGTTTGGGACACAAGAAATCATCTGAGTAATGATTTCAAGTAAAATCTCAGTAAGTTTTCACCACTTCGAAAATAAGTCAATGATTTAATCACAATACTAGATCATGGAGCTCTGAAGGCCCTACCATAGCTAGTTAAAAATATTCCTTGACAGAGTGCAACTAGTTTGCATTCATACCACTGAGCTTGGATGGCCATTTGGATATTCTTTTACTTGGGAGAGATGTGCATGGTGCACCTAATAATTCCGTTGCAACAACCCAAGTGCAGGACATTTGCATTAACACGTTGATGACCAGCCTATTTTTGCTTGTCCGCCGCGTGGGACCACGCACATTTTTTTTGTCAAAAAATGCGTCCTGCCATCAGGACGCATGGTCCCAGAAAACATTTTTTTTGCCGAGTTTTTTTAAAATGTTGAATTTTTTGGAATTTTTATCAGTAATTACGAAATCATAATCTTCTGGAACGTTCTCAACAGTTCCAGAGGGTATTCATTGAGAAAAAATCTGCATCCTGGCATCAGGACGCATTGTCGCCAATGTGTTAAGAAAGCATTTTACATATAGCACACACCCTCCTCCCAGGCTGTCTTGTGCCTAAGGACCTTCCCTGTGCACTCCCTACATTCTGCACTCCCCTCCCCTCACCTTTGCCTAAGCATCTAGTGAAGTCACATGTCCCCATGCAAAAATTGAGTCCTAATCCTATTCCCATATCAGTTGGGAGCAAAAAAAATGAATTTCAGACCAGTCTCTGTGGCCTATTTAGAATTCCTGAAACTTTCCTTCTTTATCTATACAAGGTCCCATTCATGTGCCCATGAGGGGATATATGCCCAAATGGCTTAACCAAGCCTAAAATGGACACATAACTGGATCAAGTGAGGTGCTGCTCAGCTTGTTAAGAAAGTAATATAGCCTTGTTTCAACCAGTGGAGAAACCTAGGGATTTCATTGGTAAAAAATTACCAGGAGTGTTGAATCAGATATCACCACTGACCACCTGCTGTGGAAAGTGCCTCTGCTTCCATTCTATGCTTTTTATTTTAATTCTTTGGAAAATCATGGAAAAAGCTAGGGATATAGGAAGTTGAAATGAAAATATAGTTGAAACAGCTATTCTGTAACTTTCTATATCTCACCACTTTCAGTTTGTGAGCATATGGTTTGTCAATAAAGTGTGCTTTTCCCCACCTTCAGATAATGCAACAAGCACATCATTTTGTTTGGCAAGATTCACAATGGAGGCATGAAGTAAACTATACAATTTCCCAGGAAAGAATTCTTCACTTCACAAATGCCTGTTATGGAGGCAGAGGTCAAACCTCACATGACCAGTGTGAGTAGGACATTGCAGAATCTTAAATCAAAGCTGAGTAAAACAAGATCTCATCTGTGATCTGGCAAGAGTGAATATGTAAATGATAAAATTTTTAGAACAAGAATTTGTCCCTTTATTTTTACTGCAAAATAAGAATAGATTATTCAACTCTGCACCTTAAAGCTGTGAGTTTCTGTTTTTTATTGTAAAGGTGAGCAATTATCATTTAGTCTGAAAAAAGTCTTATTCTTGCACTTTTAGAAAAATTCCATTTCATATCCACTGTTTTCTATGGTTGTAGGACAATAAAGATGTAAAGTCACTGGAAGTGCAAAATTTTCATAATCTTACCAGTGCATTTTCATGTTTGAAAATTCCAACCTTCATACATAGACCCTGACCTATTGGATCAGAGAACTCGTTTCATATTTAAACTTCTTTGGACAGGAGCTTACCCATTTAACCCTTCAAGGACTACAGCCATACTAGGGTGGATCAGAAATTTTCAGGAAAAGTTTTATTAACCTTTAAAAGAACTGGATTAAAAAATATATATATATTGGTTTCCTCACGGCCTGTCCTCTTTAACCCCATTAGTGATACCATCACAAAACATCACAAAAAATTAAATCTCCAATATTTGTGCAAAATAAAATTGAAATAAAGCTGATAATAATGGCATCACTCTAGACTATGGTGGTATCATTTTTTTTGGTTATAACAGGCAACTCAATTGGCCATGTTACACATTGCACTGTTAATTGTGGAATATATTGCACATTTGTCTGTACGGATTTACTTCTAGCATGGAATATATTCCACATTGGTACTTTAAAGGTTAAGTAAGGTTGCTCATTGCCTAATCTGATAAAACTTTAATATTATGGTTTAGCAATAAAAGCTAATACAGTTCACATGACTCAGCAACACTGCTGGTGCATGTGCATTGGTTGTGATAAGATGGCAGTAGAAGTCATGCTCACTATTGAGCAATAAGCTATCATTGACTTTTTTAAATCAAAGAAGTGAAACCTTGACAAATTCTTAGTAGAATGCAGGCATAATCTGATAATGCATATATATAGGTAAAAGTAGGCTGTATGAATGGCATGAAAGATTCATAATGGAAGAGGTCTGTGTAACAATGTAAGGGAAGAACAACTTGAAACATCCACATAAGAAGACAGTGCAAATTGATGAAGTCATTCATAACAACAGGCATGTTAACCAGGAGGAACTGGCTGAAGGATTCAATATCAGTAATGGTTTAGTGCAGTTTATTATTAATGACAAGCCCTACTGTCATTAAGGCTGAGTTCATACTCTTGCTGTACAGCATGCTGGATGCTGCAACTGCATACTGTCTAATGCAACATACCGATGTTGGATTGGATTTTGCTGCTGCTGTACACCACGAGTATGAAGTCGGCCTAAGTTAGCGTAAGAGGGGTTCTGCAACAGTTGATTGATGAGCTCCAGGATCGACATTTCACTGTTTGTTGCAGCCTACTGTGCCAATACGATCATGAAAAGGAATAGTGTTTAATGAACATTCACACTGATGAGACATTGATCTATTTCTTTGAGCTCAATAAAAAACAGCAGTCAAAGCAATGGCATCATTACTTGTCTCCTAAACCAAAGAAGTTCAAAGTCATGGCAACCTTTTTCTTGAGATTTGAAAGGAGTGATTTTCATTAATTCTCAACAAGATACCATGAATGCTGAATGCTACAGCAACTTCCTGAAGAGATCACTTTGTGAACCTATCTCCTGAAAGCAATCAGGGATGTTGACTTCAGGCATTTTTCTACAGCACAACGAGCATCCATGTGCAGCTTAAAAAAAAACTGCTGAATCTGAGAGAAATGATTCAAGAAAAGAAATTTGAAGCAATAGATGATCTGAAGAAAGCTGGCCAGGATTGCAGCAAGCACCAGCCTGTTGTTTTTTTTACTGATGGTAAATTGCCAGACCAAATATTGTGATGCTGAGGGCAGGTATTTTGAAAAGTAGGGTAAATTACATAAACAGCTGTAACTTGAACTTTACAAAACCAATGTCTATCTGGAAACTTTTTGATCCACTCTGGTACAGTGTCAGACATTGAATTTTGATTTCCCTGTATCTTCAAGCTTGTCACATTTGGAGGGTTATTTGCCCATGACAGCATCACCTTTGTCCATACTCCTATGATCAAAGATAATGAGTGACTTTCCTTAGAAAGAGCTGAAATTAACCCCCCCCCCCATTTCTATTTCTTGTCAGAAGAATCTCAGTTCTTAAAAGGTTAATGAAATTCCCCATTAAAGCTGAGACTCAATTGTTCTAAGTAAGCTCCTTTTTTTCTTTGCACTTATCAGCACTTGAAATTGCTAAGAATAAACAGTTCTGAATTCATCTACCCATGATGTACTCCATTCCAATATCTTTTTTATAAAGCTGTCCAAGGCAGTACAACATATGAATTGCCTATATTAAATTGAAGTTGGATTTTTTATGAAATCCTTCCATCTTAGAAGTCTACATTTGTAATTACATTTCATAATTTCTTATAAGTCTGCATTTAATATGTACTAAAAGTAAAATCTGTTTTATTTTTAGTTTTCTTATTGTTGACTTTGGAATTTTGCCAATTCTTCAGAAAAAAGACTCCTAGGTTAGAAGGACCTAAGTTTTTCCTATATTGTTGAAATCATTCATCTTATGAACTTTTAATTTTATTATGCAATCAAGTGAGATAAAATTGAGTCAATCCCAAAGAAATAAAAAATGACAGTACAGGTTTATAATCTTTTGCAGGTCAGAGCCATAGAGTGACTCTTCATGGCATTGAGCCCCCATTGGATGTCCCTCTGCACTGGCTCAGCTGCCACATGAGTTATCCAGACAATTTTCTTCATCTTGTGGCTGTGCCATTATAAGAAGTTTCACAACAATGTCACCATACCCATTTGAAAATGACTTGTCACAGAACACTATAACCAGTTGCTGTTGGGACCAAGTTATAGTGCAGCAGTCTGCTAAATGGGAATTCCTGCAAGATCCGTCAATCCACCTTTTACTCAAAAGATCTCACCCTCTCATTCCTTTGAAATGCCATCATCTCATGAATTGGATTGAGAAGGTTTAGCCATGAAGCTTAGAAACAAGCAAAGGAAACTGAATATACACGTCAAAGTCAGAATGTCATGACATGAATTTGATTCATTGGCAAACATGCCAGTTTTTACCATGAATGACACTGAAAATTCTTTGTGTGTTAATCATAACAAAGGAGTTATTTTCAGGTATGAATTAAGGTTGTGATTCAAGAAACCATGAAGTTTTATTGAATTGTGAATAAATTTACAAGATGATACTTATAAGTTTCTAAGAAAGTATAAAATCAAACTGCTAGTCCTGGTCACATTTTTCTGAGAGGAGTGATGTTAAGTATCTTCAATAATTGGGCTAAGATATGTCTGGCAGAGGTGAATAGGGCAAGTCGAGCCATGGCTGTTGCCTCTTCTTCTCCCTTGACCTGGAGCACCTTGAATGCCTTGTTCACTGCATCCCTGCAATCAATCATTCACTCACAATAGAGGCTTTGCTGGTGTGTTGCCATGGAGGTGAAAGAAACCATGTGAAATTCCATGAAAATTTCTCCATGCTTCATTTAGAATTAAAGTTTGAATCCTTTGAACAATAAAATATAGTCACCTCTCATTCATCCAGACATCAGGGACTGACGATTCTTTAATGGATCAATGAGCTGTCAGGATTATCGAAAACCTGACTTGGGTAACCACCCTTTTTTTCCTACAATCTCTGAAGAAGAAAGAGGTACTGAGTGGACTCAAGTATGTCTTTTAAGAGTTGTGCTCTCAGATAGGGTTTTTTTTTTACCCCCAAATTCAAAGAGATTTTAAAAAAATTAAAAAAACATGGTAAAAAGTGATCCATGTCTAGCCTTCATGTACAAAAAGGTAACTTTACTGATTCTCAGCAAAATAGAAGCTGAGAGGTGACCATTAACCATGTTTTAATAAAAATGCCACTTGTGGCAGCAATTATACAGGGTGATCGTAAAGTCAGGAAACTCAAACAATTACACGTTTTGTCCATACTATACAAGATGGTCCCATCCTACATTGCACATAGTTCAACATGTGTATGACATATATAGGTGGATGTTTTCTCAGTACACAAGTGTCAAGCCAGAATTTTGCTTAGTCATTCAGTTTCAAGTATGGTGTTCATGTTGGAGCAGTGTGTTTTCCTTATTGAGACTTATCTGAATTAAAAATCTTACAAGCTGTGTCAGGAAACATTTCAAAAGAAGTTCAACATTCGCATGGTGCCAACTAAGTCTGCAATCTGGAAGCTGGTGAAGCGATTTCATGACACAGGACACAAGCGTTCTCAATAGATCTTGTAGAAGGAGACCAGGTTTATCGGATGAAATTGTGGATGGCATCTGGAACAGACTTGAATAGAGTCCTTCAAAGTCACTGCGACGTTTATCCACAGAAACTGGGTGATCTCAAAGGGACTTTGGCCAGTCAGGTCCCCAGATCTTACCTCACCTGATTATTTCTTATGGGGATATGTGAAGGAGCGAGCCTACAAAAACGATCCCCATTTAGTTCAAGAATTAAAGGACAACATCACAGATATTGTGAGCGGGATTCCCATTGACATGTTGGAACGTGTGGCTGGAAATATGTGTAGAAGAGTGCAGCTATGTCTAGATGTCCAAGGGGGACACTTTCAGCATATCATGTGATTTCATGTGAACATGCACATGTTGAACTAGATTTGCACCAAGTTGGAATGATTTTTGTTGTATGGTATGGGCATCGCTAATAAATGTTTGGGTTTCCTGACTTCACGATCACCCTGTATATTCCATTTGCTTTGCCATCTGAATCCAGAGCAGATTTTTTTCTCCTAGGAAAACCATTTGTGTCAGTTATTTCTAACTTTGTTCCCAGTGGTACTTCCTAGTGCTAATGCAACTTTTTACCTTCTGTTGCAAGCTCATCAATCTTGATGTCCAGATAAACAAGAGTTGATAGGAGGCTTTTATGACACAACTAAAGCCACACTCACGATGTAGCTTACCATATATTATTTAGTTCATCAGGATGGGCCAAAAAAAAAAAAACAAAGCTATCACTTTCGGCAATTTGTCAGTTTGTATGTGGCAGATTTTGATGACATTTGGTATACACATGGTGACTCGATTAGGGTTTGTGTCCCAAGTTTAACAAAAAAATTCCAAAAACTATGAGATTGGCATTTAATTTACTTTTCATCGTCAAAAAAGTAAGTGTTTATTTTTTCTTTCAGTTTAAAAATTCTCACAGCTGACAAAAACAAACAAGCAAACAGAATAAAAACAGATGCACAAATGACAAACACAAAAGCACACAATTTCATTTAGGGACACCCATTTCAACTGAAAAGGTGCTCAACATGCCCTTCATTCTGTTGAACAATAGCTTCTAGTCTGGGACACCATAGATCAATGGTTCAGTCAATAAACATTTGAGGCAGTGCCTCCCAATCTTCCTTTGTAGCATCATGCAAGGATGGAAGGTCAATGAATTCGGACCTCCCTTTCATCCCAGCATCAAGGTTATATATATATTTTTGACAGCACATTTTGTCATTGGTCATATGAAAATAATTAAAACTCCTACAATTTTGAAGCTAGATGGCTGAAATTTGGCATAAAAACTCAATTGTTTCACCCTATTTTTAATCAAAATCAGCAGCCTACAAAAAGATTGACAACTCGTCAAAAAAGATAGCTTTATTTTTTTTGGCCCACCCTGTAGTTGACTTGATTTTCAAACTAAAACATACCTGAGTGAGAAAAGGTACTTGACTATGATGCAGGGTTCTAAACGTGCAACAGATTCTTCCATCACTTCATCCACCCTATAAAATCCAACCCGTGATCAAAGGTATTTATGAGCTGAATAAAAACTTGAATCATTTTTAAATTTCTGAGTTTTTATATTACCTGCTAAGCTGAGCAGCAAGAAGAGTAGCCTGAGGATTCAATCCAAGGTCAGCCAGAGATAAACTTTCCCATTGGTTTGGAAGGCTAACACCACAGTTCTCCTCCAGGCTGCAAAGTCTACTGTGTGCATATTGCAATGCAATTCCACTCTCTCCTGTACTCTGTAATAAAAATCAACCATCATTAGAAAATTAAAATAGAGAAAATGGGTAATTGAAATTGGTATTAATGAGGACCTGAAGTGCTCGATCCCAACTGAAGTCATAGTCCTTGGTTCGTCGTTGCTTGAAGTCATTGATGATCACAGCTGTGATGCCCAAGTTGTCTGCAACCTCTTCTGTATAGTCCCTAGTGGCTGTGAAAAGATATTAATAGAAATCAATTGTTCAACTTAGCTTCATCTCATAGGGAAAAAACTTGTGACATCTTATTCATAATTAGTTGAGAAGTAAACCTTGATTGGATCTGAACAGTGATTATCTCAATAGAAAAATATCCCGCTTAGTGATGAAGGCATTCCTCAATAAGTCCAAGGTATTAACCCTTTTGCTGCCATTCATGCCATATGCATGTTCAGCACATTGAATCTCCACTACCATGTTAGGCAAGGAGAGGTTGGCTGGGCATTTAAATCCTTTGGGGTGAAAGGGTTAATATTAGGCCTGGTCATTCATGGAAATTTAATTGAAGTTCATGCATTTACTCCATCCAACACATCTCCATTTCCTCTCAGAGAGATAATTAAAAAATTTTAACATTTAAATGTAAGGCAGGAAACCAGGAAGAAGGAATGTTATGTAAGAATAATAAGGGAAGAATTGAGTAACATCCTGTTGCAACATCAGCTCATTTCCTTTCAATGAACCTAGATGCCCATTTCCAGAGGTCCCTGATATGTGTCGGCTATCTGAAAGAGGTCTAAGATGGCTGGTTGAGTTGCTCATCTCTTGCAGGTATCACAATGATGTAACAAGCTACAGTTTGAGCAGATATACTTATCACTGTTGCATGATGATATGAACTACTTGTGATATAAAAAGATTCACAACATGAGACCATTTTTAGAAAAGCAGCAATTTCAGGGGAAACTTGTGAACTCATTCCTGATAAGTTAAAATTCTGCTCATCTCAAAGTTCAATGCCTGGTCATTGCAGAATCCTGTAAGGTACCAAATTAATTATTCCACTTAACCCTTTGGGGTCCAAGTATTTTGAATGTCTCATTACTGTCATCCCAAGTTTTTTCTATTCTTCATCATGAGACAACATGAAATAACTCAGGTGTAGACCTCAAAAGGTTTACTTGAAATCACTTTTATCACAGATTTCTGAATATCTTGAACCATGTTTTCATTCCCAATTATTATTTTCTCATGGCTAACTTTAAGTTAACTCAAATTCAAGGTGTGAAGGATGAAAAAATTTATTTTGTGGAAATGTAGCCTTTTTTTTTTACCATGGTGAAAGGTAAGAAGATGTTCAGGAAAAAGTTCTTTTGTTTTTTTCTGCTTATCCCTCCTCCCCCACAGATGCCTGTGGAAAGGATCAAACCTGAGGATTAACACTGAAAAGCTTCCATAATAAAACAAGGCAACCATTAGCACTCTCCCTGTCTGTCTGTCTATTCATCTCACTTGGAGCCACTCCAGTCATATTCTGTTTCTTTTGTCCTATTGGTATTGTAATGAGCCCACTCAGAGGAAACTGAAGACTCTCATGTTCAAAGAGAAGGTGCATTTGACTCAGACTGCCAAAGAATAAAGGCATCACAGAAAATTTGGTATTCCTCTCTCTACAATCATACGTGGCAAAGTTTATATTTTGATTGTATATGCGAAGCACTCATTTAAACCAGATTGCAAAAAGATGAGGCCAGCTAAGCATGAGGACAAGGAAGGGTCTCTCTTAAGATAGTTTAGTGACATTCATGACAGCACCACTCCTGTGTCTGGAACACTTACGAGAGACAAAGCTGATCAACTTGTAAAGCAACTTGGTGTTGATTTCAGTGCAAGTGTTGCTATTGTGAAAACAAAGATTTCTGATTTCATGGCAACTATGGATAAACCGAAGTAGTACTGGATGAAGGGCATTGTGATAAATTATAGTGCATATACAGTATCAAAATTTCTGTTGAGATGAATAAATGCCAGATAGTCATCACTTCTTAATATCTTCTTGAAAAATTTTGGAGAACTTGAAACTATTTGCCTGATCCCTTAAAGTTTGAGTTAACAAGTTTCCTCTGAATATGTGAAGAGAAGGAGCATACTGGGTGAGAGGGCCTGCTGGTGCTTCATCTTCAACTTTGCTTCATCCAAGATGTCATCTAGGAACACAGCAGTTCCCTTTCTTGTGCTCAGGCCCCGAAGCCGGCCAAAACTCACATGTATGCAACGATCTACCCACTCCACACCTTTCTGCCTTAGGATCTCCACTAGAGAACTATGTAAAATTGTTAACAATTGAGAGGCGAGTTACTACATGATGCAAGTATATCCTTATCCCTTCATGCTACAAAACAGAAATATATGTACGTGATGTGCTGGGCCTGGGAGTTGTCAATGACGTAGAACATGCGATGAAAGTGGAATCGTTCCCACCTATCCATTGCTGCTGCCACATCTCGAGTCAAGTACACCAAGGATCCATCACTTTTCACCAATACCACCTTCATGATATTCAAAATCTATGAGGGTCGGTACAAAAGTAATGCCTGTGCATTTTTTTCTCGATAACCTTTTGAGCAAAAATGATGAAATTTGACTGGGAAATAGACCAAGCCCTATTACATATATGGCTATTTTCCCATGTAGTTCTCATCACGTTCAACAGACTCTTCCTAGTGCTCAAGAAAGGCAAGTATGCCATCTCTGTAAAACGGCATAAAACTGTAAAAATGGCGACTGCTGTGTACTTGCCTTTCAAGTTGGTTTCTCTACTCTTGACCCTGTTTGCCCACCCTCTCACTGTGCTCACATCAACGGGAGAGGTCCCATTAATGCCTTCCAGTCACCTATGAATGTTTTCCCTCTGCAGTCAGTAATTCGAAAAGAATCTGCTTTGTACACACATCATGGGAAGCAGCCATTTTGAATGGGTGCAGTGGTGCTTCCAACTGATACCTTTCCAGAAAACTGACACAGCAAGGACGGCAAATATAAACCTTTACCTAGGAATTTGTTCGGCAGTCTTCCATGCACGAGTCCAGAGAAAAAATGTAAGAGGCATTACTTTCATACTGACCCTCGTAAATTTCTTTGAAGTGAAACAACATTCCAACAAGAACTTATGAACCTGTTAACTGAGCATATTGTAGCTACCTCCAAAGTATATTTATCAAACATGAATTCCATTTAGTTTAATTTAAATACATGTGACAAACAGCATTACACATAGTAATATTTAGCTGTTATGAATGAGATATCTGCAAAGACATTTATAGGCCTAAAAGAGACACTTCAGAGAGAAGTACCTTCAGAATGGAAGATCTAATGCATATTGGAGTAGAAGGAACAGGCTTAGAACTGAATTATCTTACCATATTGGAACACTTTTTTTCAGAAGCATTAATGTCAGAACAAGTTAAAAATACAGCATCACAAGAATGTAAAAAAAATTAATTTCTGGGCTTCAAGTACTTCTAGGGTGGCATGCCAGAACAGATCAAATGTGCTTAAGGTTAGCAATAGGAATTACAGTGATTAATCCAAGACTCTTTCTTAATCTTCCCAAAGCTGATCTCACCTGTCCCTTGGGAGATACTGATACAACCTCTCTGCCCTTGTCATCCTTCATGAGGAGGCCAGCTCTCCGAAGGTCCTCCAGAATTCCCTCCACCCAGGATTTGTTGTATAGTGATTCCCCTACAGAGATCAAAATTATATCTAGCCCTCTTCTAAACATTCCAATGAAAGGAGTTTTGATCAGTGTACCATCATAATGGTCAAATTTAATGCCTAGTCGGTCATATATCTTCTGGAATTCTTGGACAGAAAGTGTGCGAATGACATCCCATAGTTGAAGAGCATCTCTGTCTCCCTTCTCCATTCGGGTAAACCATTCCCTTCCTCTCTCTGCAAACTACTGCCAATTAGCATCCGAATTTCAGATTCAAGAGAAAAAATTTGCAACAAAGGTACCTGGGGGTCAGTATCTGCCAGCTGATTGGCATGGACATAAAGTTGATATAGTGTATGCAAGGGGTCACCCTGGAAATCCTCCTCCTTTGTCCCTTCTCTATACATTCCCTCCTGAAAATTGTACCATTTGCAATCAGTATTTCAGGGCTTTTCCTGCATAAACTCATTGGTGAGTTGAGAATGTTTTTAGCATAGCCTACCTGTAGAATACCAAATTGAGTACCCCAATCTCCTAGATAATTGATCCGTACCACTCTGCTCCCCAGAAACTCAAAGAGGTTTCCCAGGAAAGCACCAAGGATGGTTGAGCGCAGATGGCCCATGTGAAATGGCTTGGCAATATTTGGGGAACTGCCAGGAAAATGAAGCAATATGTGCCTTCATGCTTTATATAAATGATTTTTCTACTTTGAAGACATGAATAAGCAATAATTATAACTTCATTTTCTGGTTATCAACAGCTTTCATTACTTGCTTCAACATTCCTATCAATAAAATTGTAAATTGATCTCATTACTGAGAGTATAACATTAACACGAGTTGCTTTGGTAAGCCAGATATATCAAACATTCAGATGACAAATATATAGTGAATCACCTGAAGTCAATGGCAACTGTCTTTTCAGACCATTCCCTTTTAAGATGGGGAATACATGATCCCATTTTCAAATGTCTCTGGAATTCAAGTATTGTTGACTCCACAAAAGCTCTTGAATCCACATAGAATGCGAGACAGGGCCCATTGTCCTTCTCACTGATATCACAGCCTCTGGAAAATTATCATTTACATCAGGCATACAGGTATAATGGGTGATATATGGAATAATAAATTAAAAACTGAACCAGACATGACTTGATCATCCAATTCAATCCTTCGGGTGACTTCAGAGCCAACTTGGAGCAGTTCTTCCTTTGAGGCCTTCTCCTGGAACAGATATCTGAGGGGAAGCTGCATTTTGACCCTTGGATGTATCTGGGCATGGGCCTGCACCTTTATCCATTTTTGGAGGCATTGTTCTTTGCTGAGGGAAGGTAGCAAGGCCTCCATGACCTAACCAAGCATGGAAAGTATGCCATGGAAATTGAACACTAAAAAATGGGTAAAATTTAAATATTTTCATGATGTCATTTTTCAACTAATGACAAACTAAAAAAAAATTTAATCCCAACAGGAAATTAACCCTTTTAGTGCTGTGGACCGATTTTTCGACCAAGTGTACTCCTGCTTAAAGTGCCAAAGCCCGATTTTTTTTACCACAGCTTTTCGTTAGGTTCCTTTCTTAACGCAGTTAGGGTTCTTGTTGGTAGAGAAAAATCGGCCTACAACATTTTTGGAATTCGTAGGCGTGGCCGAAAAATCGGCCGCGCCGGCACTGAAAGGGTTAAAACCCAAACTCCTTCTGTAGGCATTACATTTTTTTCGTCATACAACTGTCAATGCAAATAAACTACAGACGTTTGTGCCATACAAACTCTGTTCATAAAGGTACGGCGACATACGCATATTGACTGGACTCATATATTTACATGGAATTGTAAATTTACCTTTTGTGCTATTAGACGCTTCATCCTACAGACAAATGACTCGTGGGCGGCTGCCTCCAGATCAGATCTACACAGAAAATGAAATTTAATGCATATGTTAAGTAAGAAATCGTCGATGACATGAAATTTAAAATGAGTACTTCTGCTCAAGGCTTGAAACAAGCCGATCATGGAAGAAGCACCAAATACATGTGGTCCCCAAGTGAGAAGCCATATAGGGAACGCTGATGCAAGATATGTGCTGACGTGCCTATCATATTTACATTAAAGAATGCTTGAAGCTTGACGAGACAATCACTGTAAAAATTGTTACAAAATAATATTCTTAATAGTAAATTTTTTCGTTAAATTTTATGGGTGATGCGAAAGGTCCATTGTAGGACCTAGCAACTGTGTTCAGTGGCATCAGCGCGCACGCTCTGGAGTGGAAGCTGGACAGAGCTCCATAATACATAGCAAAATCATCTTACCGCGGATTTTTGTATTTCATGAAGCAGTTTATGCTGCTGACGAACTTGACCTATAGGTTGATTAGGGTATATCTTGTAGGCTATCCCCAATACGCGCACTGACTGACGTTTGGGTGTTCTGATACGATAGATTGAATGTCAGACCCAAAATGCTTAAGGCCCATCACCTTTGATCGCTAGCAATCCCACCCCTGACCCCATCTAAATCCTCATCCAGTGTATCTTCAGCTAACATGAGTAACCACTTATAGGTACTCTCTCGAGTATCATAACCCTGGGAAACTCAATTCAGCCCAAGGGGTTGCTCCCGGTCTGCTGTCCGGGTTTGGGTAGCGTACTCTTCACAGTCAGAGTGTGTTAACATCTCACATCCAGAGACAGGAATGCTGAGTGCTCAGGGGCATTGAGTTCCTAATTGCAATACACTGGTGGAATGAGAATGTTTTTGTTGGCTATACTTGCTGGAGGTCCATCTACAAAAGCAGCTGAGTTTCAACTGTAAATTCAGCTGTATTCCAATTGAAGGGTCCTCTGTATGAAATTCTAACTGTAAATTTCCAGCTGTAAAGCAACTTGTAATCTACCATTTTTCAGCTCGTTGCCAGCTGGAAATGGTCAGAATATACAGCTTCTGTCCACCTGGAAAATTCCAGTCGGTTTTAAACTGGGGCCCTACCCTCTCTAGGAAGCATAAGCATATCGAGGATGTAAAAAGTGTGGGAGGAGGGGGGGACACAAGAACTCTGGGACACTGTTATCACGCATTTCATGCATCTTTTTCTTTGTATTAATGCGTTTTTTGTTGTTAAGTGGGGGGCACATGTTGTGCCATGCCTTCATTGAACAATTCCTTCATTGGATAATTTCAGAAAGAAATAGGTTTTTTTCCCATCTGTCTTGTGAGTTGTCAGTCAAAATGAAGAAGACACTCCTACATGAATAAGCCAAGTTTTGTCATGAAATAGCAATACTGATGAAAATACTCGTGAAGGTTCAAGTCTATAATATTGAAACTTTCACCCTCATTAACAAGGGTGCATATGTGGAACACCATGAAACATGAGTTCTTTGAATAATTGACTATGGTCTATGAACAATTAAAAATGAGTTGATTGCAAGTAAGGTATGGTGATTTGCATATGAATGATCATACAGTATTTGATGGATTATGGACCCTTTTTGGACACAGGCATGTTTCAGGTAAACTCTCCATACATAGATATGATATGGCATATATGGACAGTATATGGTGCATTTGTATGAGCCAATGTATGAAAATGTATGGGGCCATATATTTTCATTCTCATATGATTTTATATGACTTCTGTCAAACCCCATACATGTTTCATATATGTTCATATATGAATTGCAATATATGGTCTTATATGAAATTTTCACATGGGAATATGCTAGTAAGAAATTTCATCCTGTATTTTGGCTTGATAGATTGATTGCGCTCTGTCAGGTCACTGAGTACTTTTCCAAAATGCCAAAACGGTATTTCCAAAATGTATACCCGTCTGCATGGAATGGCAAGGAACCCTTTCAGATCCCCATGGATGCCATGCTGGATCGAACCCTGGAAGTGGTATCAAAAGTTGATGCTCACTACTCCAAGAATTACAGATGCAGCCAGGGACATGACATTGATCTTTATACTGGACTTGGAGGAATCCCTTACATGTACTTGAAGCTGGCTTCTGTTGCTGCACTAAAGGAGCATCAATCTAAGTTCCTTGAAAGGGCTGTCTTCTTTACCAATGCATGTATGGCTGTTTTGGAGAAACTGAAACCTCATTCCCACAAGAGAGACAATGTAGCATTCTTCCTTGGGAATGCAGGTGTGGTTGCTGTCTGTGCAGCTGTATATCACAGAGTTGGTGAGTCCTTTCTACAGTTACCATCCTCATGAAAGCATTGGCTCTTAAATATGAATAATTGATGCAACAATTGTCAATGTTGCATAATATAATAACATGGGTGTGTTTCACACAGTCATTATGAACATGTCTGCAATATAGTTTGCCAAATCTAGAACACTATTCTCATTATGGTCAAAGAGTGTTTTTCTTTAATGAAGATTCTCCTCTTCTTTGGTAGCTATAGCTTATATGAAAGGTACTTAATAAATTTTGGTGACACATTTTTATTTTCCTCTTAGCTAGAGTTCTATACTTCATTCTAGCCCATCTCAGGATGTTCACTCCAACATCCATACAACATTGCATCCTTATCAGTGACTCAACATTGCTTGGGTTGAGGTACACTTCCCATCAGGCCTTGATATTAAAATTGGAGATAACCATACTACAAATTTGCATTGTAACTTTATTGCAAATATATCAGAAGGCAATTTGCTTCAATGCATGGCTTACTAGAAAAATATTTTGTGCAGTCAGGACTTAATTCAAACTCTCAATTCATAGCTGAATAGCATATCTCAATCTGAGTAACATGGAGGCTTCTGCAAGTCACTAACAATGATGCAATGATGTGTGGATGTTGGAAGAGTATCTTGAAGGGATATGGAAGTATGAAAATGAAACATATCACCAGAAGTTAATGTGCCCCTTGTGTATACCTAATTTAGTCACAATGTTATTTTAATGTCTTTTTCTCTGTTCTCTGTGAACTTTGTTACCTTCAGCATTACCTTTTTATCATTAATTTCTACATAATTTCTACACTTTTAGTTGTAAAGGATGTGATATTAGGATGTCAGTTGAGTTTATAACAACTATCCACCTGTTTATCCAAGCCTAAGACTGATCAGCTGATGATATCATCATCATCAGATCTGGGGGTCTGCCTTGGAGTGATTGACCTGCTTCAAAATGTCAAATGAACAGACAATAGTGATGGGTTTACATTTATATCATGACCAGCAATGACCATCAATGATCTGGTAATGCACTTCAAAATTCCAAAATCACTGGTTAAGAACTTTGGCCAGATTATGAACAAAGCTTAGGTGCTGCATGCTGCTTTTCCGGTGACAGTGATGGAGCACCATGGGCTGATAAACCCTTATCCAGGCAAGGTCTTTTTGTGGCACAAGCAAGCAATGTCAAATATTTAAATAATTTTTTTATTTAAGGCAAATTGAACTCTAAAAATTTGTTTCTGGATCTAGAGATAACTGTCTATGAAATACACATTAAGTTTGTAGGAAAAAATGTGAAAAATTGCTTGAGAGTATTGCATTGAAAAGTACCCTGGACAGTCCAATGGACTCCCCATGCCCTGATGAGGGTTAATGTGAACAAGCTAGAGTAAATGTACATGGTGGACAAAAAAAATCAAGCATGACTTTTTGATAACTACTTCACAAGAAGAGAACTGAAGAAAAATACGTTTTAATACTCCCAACTCTTTGGCAGTCATCAATAATATATGTTCCATATAGCCTCTTCTATTTGAAAAATGACTCCCTATAGTAACCAATGCTGATATTATTTGGGTCGATCAGAAAGATCTGGCTGTTTCAAGATTTTTCCAGAAAAAAAATTTCTGAAACTTTCTCGAACCTTCCACAGTAGCAGTATATAAAGGGTGTGTGGGCATGATTACGCAGTAGTTGCTTAGTCGTTCAAAGCCTATAACCATGACTTCCAAAATCGACTTTAACAAGACTGCCCAACGTCAGTGCCTTCTTTACGACTTCCTATCTGGCATCACAGCAGCTGAATCTAGTCGCCGCATCTGCGCTGTGTTTGGCCAAGGTGCAGTTTATGAAAGGACAGCGCGATGATGGTTTGATCGTTTCCGGTCTGGAAATTACAGCCTCGAGGATGAGCCCAGGTCAGGCCACCCGAAAATTGACAACGAGCAGCTGCAGCACACAGTGGAAGCCAATCCGAGGCAAAGTACCCGTGACTTAGCGACAACACTTGGCTGCACCCAGTCCACAATCATGACGCACCTGGCTGCAATTGGCAAGAAGAGCAAGTTGGGTCAGTGGGTACCCCACGATCTAACCGACCATGGCCGCAAATGCTATGCTGAGGTGTGCACTTCCCTGCTGTCATACAAGCACACAAATGACTGGCTGGATTCCATGGTCACTGGAGACGAAAAGTGGATGCTGTACATCAACTACCAACACAGGTGCCAGTGGGTCGATGCTGATGCCCAGCCAGTGCCGGAGCCGAAAGGTGACCTGCACCCCAAAAAAGTCATGTTGTGCATTTGGTGGGACATGCAAGGCATGATCTACTTCGAGCTGCTCCCACCCAATACCAGCATCACTGCTGCCTACTGCTGCGATCAGCTGCAGAAGCTTGCCGACAAACTCCGCACGGTGAGGCCAGGGCACTGTCATGTTAGATTCCTGCATGACAATGCATGGCCGCATGTCATGAAGATCACATGGCAGAAACTGCTGGATCTGAGCTGAGAGGCTGTGCCTCACCCTCCGTATAGCCCAGATCTGGTGCCAACTGACTACCATCTCTTCCACGCTCTGGACACCATCTTCGCCAGAGAAGGTTCAACGATGATGCCGAGGTCGAAAACTGGCTGATTGATTTTTTTTACTCACAGCCAGCTCAGTTCTACAGGGATGGAATCAGGAGTCTACCTGATCGTTGGCAGAAGGTGATTGACTGTGATAGCGATTACTTTGTTGAATGAACTTTTTTGCTTTTTTAAAAACTCAGTTGTGTGGAATGTTCTTGAAACGGCCAGAACTTTCTGATCGACCCAATACATTTTATGAGTTTGAATTAATATAAACTAAGAACTTGAAATTCAAATGTAAACTTGAAAAGTATTGGTAAATTTCTATGAACAAGCATTCATAACTCTTTGGAAAAAAGTCTCCACTATGGGGTGGACTTCTGTCCCAGAAATTCCCCACTTAACACTTTTGCTGCATGTATTTTGGAGAGGTGATAGAACTGCATACAACTGAAGTCACTCTTTGTTGCAAAAGGGCTCAAAAGGCAGTTGAAAGGGTGAAATTAAGGGCTGTTCAGTGGTCACATTTCAGATTCTCTCAAGTCTAGCTTGTGCTGATGCATGGAAGAGGCCTGAACTTGATAGAATGTTGCACCATTTTTCTGGCAGATTAATCACTTGCAAGAGAAGACATCAGACTTCAGATAGTAGAACATCAGCCATGGAATAAGTCTGATTTTTTTTTTTTTGCTGTGGTTGTGAAACTTGGGAGGTGCTTCAAGTTCACCAGAATCTATAGGATAGGAAAGTAAAGATCATCAAAAAGTTGAAAGCCATGCATCTGCAATTCTTTGATATTGACAGTGGCCAGTGGCAGTTGGATATAACAGCTCTTATTCAAAGTGGTGAAAGCCATATTGAAGATTTTCCTCATTGACTTTCACAAAGAGCTGGTGTCTTCAAATCCATTGTCCATCAATGGATTCTTGTTCTATTCTGTGAATAGCTGATTGAAGTACCATTCTTGGGGGGTTTTTTGGTCCACCCTCTAGATGCAATGATTGGAATTGTTCCAATTGCTTGACTGTAGAACATGTAACTCTATAGGAAATTGTTCATAGCCAATCCAGTGGCCTGTGTTTAAGAAACACGGCTCTAAAGAATTTGTAACAGGTCATACTCATTTTGGTGTAGTAAGACCTGGCCTTTATCTGTGAACTTGATTTATTGATACTGATTTTGTTTCTTTCTTTTTTATTATGATTCCTCGTGTTCTTGCTTATCAGGAAAAATGTTGGAGATGGAGAAGTGCATCTCACAATTTCATGAAGGTGCAGCAATTTGCACTCCACTGAAATTTCTGTCCCCCTCTGGAGGGGATGAAGCACTTGTTGGAAGAGCTGGATACTTACTTGGGGTTCATTGGCTGGAAAATGAAATCAGGAGGGAGATTCTCAGTCAGGGGGAGAAGTCTGCTATCATCAAGGCAATGATTGAATCTGGGAGGCAGTTTGTAAGTAAGAATTTGTCTTCAAGCCATGGATTCCCACTCATGTATGAGTACTACAATTGCAAATATCTTGGTGAGATTTCACCTCTGTGTCTTCACTCAAACTGGTCATTTTGTATATGATGCAAGGCATTCCAGTTTATTTTATGGTACTGATGTATCAAAAAGTAATATTCCTCTGATCAATTCAATTCTCATTCCTATATGTTCCAAATCATGCTTTTAACACTGTAAACAGTGCAGGTCACTCAGTCCTTGAAATGGGCTTTTTGACTGGCAACAAAGCATGATAAATATGCACATAAGACACATGTGGAACTTTAGTAAAAATTTAGTGCAAGCTCACTGGCTTTTCTTCCAGTAGCAGCACTTATCTTTGCTACCTGTCATGGTTCATATCTCAGATTTATATTACTCAGCAGCCAAATAAAGCAAAATTCTTATTTTCATTATTTCTTTCATAAAATGCTGTGATTCTATGATATAAGGTCAACACATTTTATATAAAATCATCATCATGGCACTTAGGTATTTTCTTCTTAATCATGTTACTGGTCTACTGGGATGAAGCCTAGAGGAGTAGTCTTTATTTACAACCTTTGAGTCTGTGCTATATGGGAAGAATGAAGGAATTCACTTTGCTCTTGACTAGACCAAAATGGTAAAATAATAATTAGAAGTTTTATCATTGTTTTTTCTGAGTTTTATACTTATTGCATATTGGTAAACAGAACTTGAAATATATTTTGCAACCATCTGAAAGTGGTTTGTACCTATTCCAAATTGTTTTGCACCCCATCCTTATTAATTCAATATCGGATAGTTCAAAGTATTGGATACTTAGAAGTCATTTATATTCCCCATCTGAGGAGATAGCGATTTGTATGCTTTATAGTATGGATAATTCAAAATATGGATACCATGAAATTCGAAGGCATTCTCTGGTCCCATAAGCTATAAACTCAGAAACGTGTTCATTTACTTCAAAGAGCACTTTTCCCTATGACCTACAGATGACCTATCTCAAACCTTGCACTCTAAATGGGTACAAAACCAGCTAATTGCCTTGGAAACTTCATTTTTCTATTCAGAAGAATTCTAAATATAGACTGATGCCCCCTTTCACTAAATCTCCCCCTCAATGCTTATATATCTCATGCACACCTTATACAACCTTCAGTCAAAAAACTTTTCATTGTGGCAACACTGTCTCTCTCTCTGTGTGTTGTGAGTGAAACGGGTGAATGTGCCATGGTGAACAAGAGGAAGTAAAATGAGTTAAGTATTTCACAGAAGTTGGAAGTTATTTGTGAAGTGGACAAGAAAGTAAAATCAAAGGTTTCAGCAGAGGCAAAGGAATTCAGCATACCACTTTCAACTCTATTCACATTCCTTAAAAATCGTGGTACCATTGAAAAGCTGGCAGAAGGTGGATATGAAACCAACAAAAGGAAGAGAACATGCAGATTTAGTACAGTATTACAAAATAACAATGGCCAAACCGGATAATTTGAACCCTCTTATTTCAAAGTTGGTATTTTTTTGTTCCCCTGGATTTCAAATTAGCAAGGTTTTCCTGTAGTATCACTGTCCAGGGCTACTTTGAATGGTGCAACAACTGAGCAACTCCTGATTGTTAAAACTAATTCTTTCCTGAAGGTTGTTTGAAAGTAGTTCCTGGCCTTTGAATTGGTCTCTCTCTCCCTTGTATTCTTTGTACTTTTCTCAACTTTACTAAGAGGAAATAAAATGGAATATGGAGGTGCATGTACAGGGTGGCTGGGAAAAAAGTACACCATGAGATATATATGAGTTTCTCAGCAACCAGGAGACCAAATTGCCTTTAAAAAATGGGATAAATAGAGTTCAATTAGTCAGGAAACACTCCTTAAAATATCAACCAGATTGGTATCGTATGATCATATATGTGTCATTTTGTAACCATTGTCAAATATGTGTGTAAGTACAACTTTTGCCCTATAAATTTATAATACTCAGCATCTCAATTTAATACACTGCCATGTATTTTTTCACTAAATCCTTTAAAAAATACCCTTATTCAATGAAAAATTAAATAATTTATTGAAAGTGACAGAATTTTTGCAACCAGTGAGAACACAAATAATTTACAATCTTGGGATCACAACAGAATAATTTGTTTTTGAGATGGCCACCTCTGGCTTGGATACACTACTTGAGTCTCTTCAGAAACTTGTCAACGACTTTGCTCATTGTTTCCAAAGATAAACTAATGCACTGATTTTTCCTTTTTTGCAATGATTGTTGTTGTTGTTTTTGTTTGAACACAGGTGATAAAATAAACTGTTTGGTCTAATTTCAAGATCATTTCATTAAATGATATGAATCAGAGTTCAGGTCATACTGATCTGCCTAATATTTTAACCCTTTCCGGTCTTTTTACTTTTGTCACTATGTCCAACCAGGTTGGACATAAGACCGGAACGCAGAAACATCCATGTCCAACTAGGTTGGACAAAGGACCGGAAAGGGTTAAGGCATGTTTCCTGACTAAGGCAGTTTAGTCTCTTGGTTGCCGAGAAACTCATAAATATATAATGATGTACTTTTTTCAGGGCACCCTGTATATAGCAGTGTATAGTTCCATTCCAGAAATACACATTGTACTTCTCTGTACTTCATATCTGGAGTCTGAGCAGTTGACATTTTTCCTGGAATTTCAGGTGCAGCCCATGGCCTGAGTGGCATCCTACAGATCCTCTTGATGCATTCTGACCTGTTGAAGGAATTCCCAGGAGCTGAGCAGGATGTTCTGAAGAGCACAGAGTTATTTCTTGAGCTCCAGAGCCCAGAAGGCAATTTTCCCCCTGACTTGCAAGGGGACTCTGCAAGGCCTGACTCTGATGAATTGGTACACTGGTGCCATGGTGCACCTGGAGTTGTCTATCTCTTGGCAAAGGCTCACCTGCTTACAAAAGGGCAAAAGTTCCTTGATTCTGCACTCCAATGTGGAAGCATCACTTGGAATAAGGGGCTCCTAAAGAAAGGACCAGGTGAGAGGCAAGGTTTCATTGATATGAAAGTAATACCAGAATGAAATTTACATGATAAGTTCAGGGAGTGCACCCAAAAACTTCCATCTTCCATGGCCAGTGAAATTTTTTGCAGGGAGTACTTGAATTCAAGTCTCTCTGGGTGAAGTGGAGCCATATCTTCACAAGGATTTGAAAACATGACAAAATCTTATCTATTTTTTCCCAAAGGTACAGGGAAGGTTTCAAACATCATCAAATGCTGACTTGTAAATGCGACCCCTGTTTATAACTTCAATGATAGGGCAAGAAATTGCACTAGTGACTCAATTGACTTGAATAATAGAGAAGCATGATTGTGCTGACTCAACAGCTTAGAGGTCAGCTAATGGCTGGTGATTTGCTGGATGCAAAAATATCACAATTGTATTGGGTGCCAAGAAACCTTTTGCCTAAGTGTCTACCGCCAGAAGTATGCAATTGACCTGTGTTCTTAGTGTGATTATAAAGCTTGTTTTTTCTGCTTCTCAGGTGACCTGAATGAAACAATCATGGCCAGCCTTCTCAGTGATAGTGAGGAAAAACAAGTGGTGGACTGTACGTGCACAAGCGTGTTCCTTGAGGCCATGGAGAGTGGTGCTGACTTTATTACCAGAAAGTGCACATTTTCACATATATAGTCCACCACTTGCTTTTGCTCACTATCACGAAGAAGTCTGGCCACAATCGTTTCACTCAAGTCACCTGACAAGGAAATTATCCAAGAGATAAATTCCAATTTTGACCAAACTTGGGTCATTGAAAGTACTCTCAAAACGAAGTGAAATGACACCAAAACATGCAGCAAAGAAACAGATAACTCATAACTGGCTTTCTCAATCTTCTGTACAGACTCAAGCCTCCATGACATATACTCTCATTCTTTTTGAGTTCCTTCCTCATTTCTTGAGTGATCCAACTCTCCTCTTGTCCTTTAGATCCAATCACAGGTGATTATCAGCAAAATGGTGTGATTTAACTTGCAGGAAGTACAGAAGATGCTCAGTGAAGTGTATGGAACAATCAGAGATCCAGAGACACCAATAGATTTCCACTAGATGAAGCTGAAGGATCACTCATGTCTCTCTCTAAACACCCCCTCCTCCTCTATCTGATATCACAATAGTGATTATCTGCTGTATGTGGTTTTTCTCTGCTCCAATATTGCACATATATCAATTGACAGTACTGGTGTTAGACATGAAAATAAGAGAGCACCCTAATTAATTCTAATAATTGTCTTCACTTGTAATCAGGTGATCATGGCATTTGTCTTCGAACTCCAATTCCTGTTTTACATCAATTTCCAAGTGACCTGCATGAACATAACTATTTATGATTCCTAGAGATAGTTGAGGACGATGAAAGGAATAATAATAATAATAATAGTTCTATTTATACTGGCATTATTAGAGCCTTACAATTAATTAGGGACCTCTCTTACTGTTCTGTTTAACCAATACTGTCAATTGATATATGTACAGTATTGGAGCAGAGAAAAACCACATACATTAGACAAACACAATTGAGGCATTCCAGCTCAAGTGGTCAAAGGGTGGTTGCACTTCAGATTCTGATTTGTATGAAAAAATGTATGCATGATGGATTCCAAGAGTTATGAAAAAAAAATAAAAATCTTGGTGCTCTGACTCTAAGGGTTTTTCAGATATGCAGGCCCAAATTTAGCCTCCAAGAGGAAAAGAGACATTTGGGGTTAAAACACTCTTTGGTTTTAGTGGAGCTAGAAAAGCGTTTCTGGACTCTAATTGAAGCTGAAACAATGTACAAGGTATTCCATAAGTCCCTTAACACGTTGACGACCAGCCTATTTTTGCTTGTCCGCCGCATGGGACCATGCGCATTTTTTTTGTCAAAAAATGCGTCCTGCCATCAGGACACATGGT